GAAGAGCCTGGCTCCAACTTCTTTGCACACTCCCATCAGGTATTTCTGCACGTGGGCAAGGCATCCTTCAACCTGCTCTTCTCCAAGCTGAACAATTCCAGCTTTCATCTGCAGATGAGTGTCTGCCTGAACTTGGCATCGGTGAGGCTGCACCTCAAGTGCTGTGTCCAGTTCTGGGCCCCTCACTTCAAAAAAGACATTGAGGTGCTGAAGTGTGTCCAGCAAAGGGCAGCAAGGCTCATGAAAGGTCTAGAAAATTAGTATTATGAGAAGCAGCTGCATTTGTTCAATCTCAAGAAGGCTCAAAGGGCTCCTCATTGCTCTCTAGGACTCCCTGAAAGGGTGTTGTGGTGAGGTGAGGGCCAGCCTCCTCTACCATGCCTGGAGTGAGAAGAACAGAGGGAACAGCCATAAACTGAGATGGGAGATTCAGATTAGAAACTAGAAACATTTCTTCCACTGTTAAGGTAGTCAGGCACTGAAGTAGGCTGCTCAGGGAAAAGGAGGAGTCATTATCCCTGGAGGTGCTCAAGTATCTAGATCTGGTGCTGGATGATCCAGTTTAGTGTTAGGTGGACAGTAGGTCTAGATGATCTTGAATGTCTCTTCTAAAATTGATGGTTCTATGATTCTATTTATCATTATCAGCAGTTGGTGATCATAACTACTTGTGTATTTTAAAGCTGAAGCAAGATATACCCAGCCAGGAGAGGGGCCAAAAATACTAATGGTAAGGATGAGAAAGAGGGAAGAAGGAAGGACAGTTTTCTAGGCATTTTAATAACTGCTACTGGCCCGAAGCAAATGTTATAACTTAGACTATTTTAAAGTTCACATTTATAGTTCATTCGTCTGAAAATTCTGCCCATAACATCCATGAGTTTCTCTACCCACATGCAATCCCTGAGAGAAATGTTCCTTATAATTCAAAGCAGACCTAGTCTCTGGCTCGCAGAAATTTTTTAACTCCTTAGAGGCTTCTGCTTTCTTACTTAAGGACTCTCATCTAAGAGAGAAGCACAGCGGGCATACCTGAACAGAAAACTAAACAAAAACAGTGAATTGCCCAGAATAATACACAACAGCTGAACCCCACATGTGAACCTGTTATTCCATAAAAAGCCTATCAAGTCTACGATTATTCCACGAATGGACCATTCTCATTATTGGAACCAATTTAGGTGTAACAGGATATCATGAGTAAGGTTAATGACAAGCATCAGAAGATACTATAGAGGTGTTACCAGGCTGGGAGTAATCAGTTAGGTGCCATAGAGGTAATCAGACTCCTACACCTGAAGTCAGGGTCAGGGGTCAAGTCTGAAATTCAACACCTGAACTAGAAACCATAAATATCTACAGCTAATAAAAAACGGCCTTTGGGAAAGCCTAGTCCTCAGCATTCTACACTAAACTCTGAACAAGGACTGCAGGCTTCCAGGAGCCTACACTGCACAGGCAAGGTGCCCCACAATGATTTCAAAGCAAACCTGAATACAATCAGCCACAGAGCAGTGAAACACAGAGTCAGACCAAACCTGCAAAGCACCAGCCCACAATGGAATCCAAATCCTCTCTCTTACCTCTCCCCAAGTCCTTTCTAGATATCTGAAATGGTGTATTTCAACCTCCCAAGGACAGGAGCTCTCAAAGGATGTGTGAAAAAGGTCATGGTTCTTTAGCTTTTCAAAAACCAAGGTCCTTCTGAACATGTGCTGACATCACACAGGCACAGGAAGTATTAAAATGTAACAACCACGCACACTGATACACCCCCTCTGAAGTGAAGACATTAGAATGACAGAACAACTGCTGGAAGTAATTACAAGGATCACAACTTAGGATCTGGATGCCCACATGAAATTCCTGCTAGTACAAAATTCCCAGTTTTGTTGCTTAAGTCTACTTTCAAAACATCCAGCTGTACATTTCTAAAATTGTGCAGGTTTTAGAATTTGGAAGGAACTAAAGAATTGCCTTCAGAAGAAGCTCCATCACTTCTAACACTGAAGGCTCTGCAGCTGAGAAAGAAAACTGGCTGTTTTGTCATAAAACAAATATTCTTCAAGTCACAGATTTCTCAGTATCCTTACAGAGAAAGGTCAAAATCTCATTGGAATATAACGGGATTGAATGAATGCATTCTAAACTACAATGGAATTTAGGTGCCTACATCCAATTGGAATGCAATTAGATTTGAGTACCTAAATCCCATAACCTAATTGAAAGTCTACCCTCAGTGTTTCACAGGATCATGGGGGCAGGCGGGACTTTGAAAACATATCACATTATGACTCAACTAGAACACAAGAAGCTGCATTTAACTCAATAAGATTGTCTCACCCTTCTCACCTATAGGATTATTTTCTTGGGTTTTATTCTTTTACAACAGAAGGTGGCATTGCTGATCTACCAGTGTTACACAATTAGCAGATCTTGCATTCTCCTTCCCAGCAGAGAAAGTGCTGGGAAATTCACAGAGGTTGCATAAAGTTCGCTTACATTAATAGGCTTTCCTGATTCTGCAAGCCCTAGCCCCTAAACAAGGTTAAATTAAGGTAGTGAGCCAGCCAGCATGAGCAAAAATCATGGGTTTGGCACACAGGGTTACAATGGCTGCACAGATTTTGATCAGGCCTATAACACATATACCAATACTTTGGAAAACTAAATAACTAGCAAATGGAGGCAGAACACAGGCGACATCTGGTACCAATATATGGGGGGGGGGGAAAGGCAGTAAATACTTTTTCCACTGTTTTACACATTCAGCAACAAGTTTTGTCGTCCTTTCCCCTCAATAAAGGAGAATTGCAGGGTCTTGCCACAGGGTGGCTCATCACGCCTGCGATCGAGTCTCAGCCCTTTCAGCTTACACAAGCAGCCGGAGCAAAGCCGCTCTTTCTCCCAGCCGGATTGCCACAGACCGAGCACACAGGAAGAACAGCTGCAAAGCAAAAACCAGGAAGAGCACAGACCCAACTTTAATTCACCTTAGCCCTGCATAGCTTCTCTGCCGCCGGTGAGCCAACAATCATTCCTGATGATTTTGCGGGCGGGTAGAACCTTGTGACGCGAAGGCAATGAGCCCACATTCCTCAGCAGCCAAAAATCCCACTGACTTCCTGGGAATGTCCAAATGGCCAAGAAAATTCAGCCTCACGCCTTACTCCTATACCTGTTCACTGTGACAAAATAGATCTTGTTCTCTTCAAAGGGTATGGGATAGGAATCCTGTTCACTCAAGAGTGCCATTATGAAAACTGACTTCACTATCACCTCGGGGCCAGTAAAAATTTTGTGCTAACCTCTACAATAAAATAATGTCACAAACTGTTAGGAAAGCAGACTAGCAAGCTGAAAAACGTGCACTTTGAACTATCAAATGATTCTAGATGTGAAAAAAAAACACTTCATATTTTTAAAAAAGGAGCTTCATATAGGTAGGAAACTCTCTAAGTAACTATTTACAGTTAAATTCAAACATGAACATGTAACTAAATTATTGTAACTAAATTATTGTAATGATCAAACATGATTAACTACTATAAAAAAGTGAACAACTAGAAATTAGACTTCTCTGGTTTCTAACTTTTTTTTCTTTTCTACTGCTCTACGTTAAGGAATAATTTCATCCTGAGTAAGACAAAGTTTAAAGTTAGTGTATACTTTGCATATTTGGTTTGGTAGTGCAATTTTCAAAACGTAATTTAATCAATTTCCTCAGATTTAATATGGCATTTTAAAACCTAGTACATTGCGTCTTTCCAGTACTACATATTTCAAATAGAATTGGATGCAAAAAAGTTCCCCATTGCATGGCTTCTGCACTATTCATTCACAAATGCTTTTTGAATGTATTAATTCTACTCATGATAAATATGAGCTACCCTGCCAAATCTGAGACTATTTCTTGAAAGTTCAGCATCCAGAATAACCACTGAGTTCAACATTAATTCCAGACAGCCCAACGTGGTGCTGAAATAACATGACAGAGCAGGAAGGAAAAAAAAAAAAAAAAAACCACTAAGCACAGAAAAAAGATTCCCTAACATTGTAAGAATATAATCTCAAGGAAAGAATCACAGCCCCCAGGTCAGTATTTACTGACACGGGCAATGGCCCAGGCCTGTTTGCAGGCACAGCCCGGGTCACCCCACAGCTGCCCGTGCCCTGCAAAAGGTGCCGAGTTTATGATAAACGAGCAGAGGAGTTGAGCAGCACAAACAAGAGGTACAGTATTTTCCAGAGCCATGAACACAGGGGAGATCTGGGGGAGCGGGTATTGCATTCCTAAATTATGTATAAAGAACGTAAAACGCATGAAGAGCTTTTTAACAAAACTTGTGCTGTGTTCATCTTCTCCAGAGCATCACACTGCTGCTAACGCACCCTAAATCACTAAGAGATAGCGAGGTACTGATTTATTCCCACCGCTATTTACGAACACTGCTTTCCACCCCCCCATCACCCAGGAAATTCCCAGATCCCTTTCATCCGTGAAATTTCACACGGCGCTCCACAACCACTCCCGCTGCGCTGCCCTGCGCACACAACTCGCGGTTCAGCGGGGCTTTATGGCAGAGCCCGCACAGGCTTTGGCTTTCCTATGCCCTTTGGCAGAGACCGGGGTCTCTCCTGTGCCCAGCAACCTGGAATGCGGAGACCCCCGGCCCTCGCGCGCCTTCCTTCCCTACGCTGCGGCGCAGCCACCCTCAGGGGGCGACCCCACCCCGCACGACTATACCGAGACACTCAGAACTACAAACCCCACACCACACCACGCTCAGGCACCGGAAAGCGGAGCTCACGCTAGCTGGCAGGGCACGCCGGTCTTTGTAGTCCCTGTGCGGCCCCGCCCCTCCCGCATCTCTGGGCGGGCCCCGCCCCCTGCTCCGCCCCCGCGCGGGGCGGGCCCGGCGGTGGCGCGGCGGAGCGGGGCGCGCGCGGCGGGAGCAGGTGAGCCAGGCCGCCGTGCGGGCGGGCGGGAGCGCCAGCACCGGGAATTAGGGGAGCGGGCACGGAGGGAGTGAGGCAGTGGGCAGCCCGTGCGGGGAAGGCCGGGGGAGTGTAACCTCGCTGCTGCCCGTCCCACGCCGGACGAGAACGGCCCGCGCCGCCTCCGCGCAGCTGTCGGAGCTCCCGCGCACCTGTGGGGAGGCGGCGGCGGGCGGCGGCACCGCGGGCTCCGGAACCCCCCGTTCCCCGGGGCGGGGCGGGGCCTCGCCGCGCCTCCAGGTGTTTACTTGGCCGGTCTCCGCAGCCGTGCGGAGGTACCGGGAGGGTTCCCGGGTCTCGCCGGTGTCAGGGGCTCGGGGCCGCCCCTGGAGTTACGTAAAGCGGCGGCGGCGCTCCCCGAGCGTTGTGCCTCGGCGGCGGGGCCGGGCCGGGCCGGGCGCTGCCCCCGCGGTGCCGGCCGGTCTGGTTTGGTTCTCCTCGGGTTCAGAACCGTCAGAAGTGGCGCTCCCTGACCTGCTGGTTTTGGGTGCGAGGTGCCCGCAGTTGTTTCTAGTTCCGTAACAAACTCTTCGGGGCAGCAATTACTCCTCTGTGTGTCAGGTGTGATAAATAGACCCCCCTATTCTGAGTCCATAAGCAGGTAAAAAAATGTTGTTAGGTAACTTGGCTGGAGTGGGCACAGAATGACTGTTTAAAAAATCGTGAAACCTAAGTTTGGAAGTTGTTTCTTTATACCACTTGTTCTGTAGCTGACTTTTCTCAGTAACACTTAAATCCTAAACATCAGAGATCAGCTTGCCTGCGTTGTCCAAACAGAGGCAGAATATATGTAACCAGATCACAAATAGTATTGCATAGCTAAAAGTCTTCTAAATCCAATTACACCTGTTAAGTATGGATTGTTTTGTTTCTAATCTATTATCCTGGAATCGTGTGGCTTGCATCTTTCTCACTGAATATACAAGCCATTAGTTTAAAAAGATTTGGTACTGCAATAGCTGCAAGCTGCAGGCAAACCCTTTTTAAGTGGTTTTATTACAGCCTGTTTGCTTCTCCCGCAGAAAGGGAGGTGGCTGCTGTAAACACCAGGATAAGTTGGTGTCACGCTGCTGTTGTAGCATGTGACAGCCAGGTTCCCGGGACTGTCCTATCCTGTTTCAGGTCTTGCAGTTCAGCGCTTCCAGCAAATGTTCTCTTCCTTCTCTTTTCGTTCTTAACTCACACCTGGGAATCAAACTAAACAAAATACATGTCCCGAATAGGAAGCAAATTTCTTGCAGAAAGTCAATTAAATAGCTAGACAAGAAAGTGCAGTAGCTGGGGTATCTCATAGGTATCATGAGCAGTTTGTTCTTAAAGTTGGTATGCTGCAATGATTCTGCTGGTTCTGTGCAGCTGGCGTGGGAGCAAAAACCCTCCCTGCTGCGCCAAGGTAAGTAGGGGGTGACATGGTTTGTCTAAAACGATTCTTTTTTTTAATGAAATTGTTCTCAGTTCCTTCTATTGCGTGAATTGGCAGTAAACTGTATTAGTAGATAAGGCTGGATTCCTACGGTTGTGAACCTTGTTTGAGCATTGTATTTTTTTCTATTATTTAGTAGCCTTCATAAAGTGCAGATTGATTTGATTTTGAACCCTGTTGTAAACATTTTACATACTAGGAAATTGTGATACTTCTACAGTTGAAGATGGATTTACTGTGTATTTAAGAATATATATGTGTTTGTGAGTCTAGTAATGTAATATTTTTGTGTATTTCTTTCAACTTTTCTTACGAAAAAAAATTTCAAGTTAAGTGGAGCTGTGTGCTATTTGCTCACTTGACCTGACATTTCTGTTACTCAGGGAATACTTTCCTGTTACTTTTTAAAGTTAGAGGAATCTGTGTGTGACACCAGTAGCATCAGACCCTTTTATTTGTCTGTGGGCATGCTTACTGTGTCAGATTGAGTCAAGAATGGCCTTCAGAAGAAAACAGTGTCATCACCACCGTTAATACTCATCGACTCGCAATTTGGGGTGGCCTTGCAGAGTACAAAAGAGACTAAACCAGAAAATGTACCCTGGGAGCAGGCTTAGTGTAGAACAGCTGCTAATGAGCATCCAGGCAGTGGTACCGAATTAGAGCTGGTCTGAAATGAAAGCTGCTGAAGCACATACAGTGCAGGCATTGGCCTCTCAACACCAAGGGCTTTATCCTCAGGGTGGTCTGTGTTGAGCTCTCTTGCTTGTCAGATTGGTGCAGCTGCTCAGAAACTCGTGTGCAGTTAAGAGTAATGTGTAATAAGTAAACAAGCTCAAGATAGTAAGTTCTTGACTGGCATTTCACTTTAAAGGAAGAAGTTCTTCTAGGAAGGACTGTTCACAGCTATTGTAAGTGGTGAAAATGTCATTGTGCAGTTTTAGGTTTGGTTAGGTTCTTTTCATGAAGTGATGAACAGAACAAGGTTTTTTTGCATCTTAAAATTCCATTAACTCCTAGGTTGGCTTCAACAGAGAGCCCCTGAGATGTGAGTTTGTTTTCCACTCCAGGTTCACAGTCACGCAACAGAGGGTAATCACTTTTTACATACAGATTGTTTGATTTTTTGCAGTCTGGACTCACTTAGGTTCTTCCTTTTACAGGATTTTAATCCTGTACCTCCCAAGAACATAACTGGGTGGTACATTGTTTAAAGGCATGCTCTCAATTCCTTGTGCTGGTAGTATGGAAGAGTCACTGAAGTGGCAAGTGAAAAAGTAGTTACCTTTTTTAGTGTTTCATTTAGATATTGTTCAGAGAATATTGCTAGAGAAAATTTGTCAGACAATGCTTCACACCTTGCATTAAAAAGAAATTATTGCAGAGCTTATTTTTCAAGGCAGAAAATAGATTTTATTACTGAGATGTGGGTGAAAAGAGGGATTTAGATATGGTGTAGCTCCAGGAGAACATCTTGTCTCAGGGACAGGTGTGACTTGCTTCTCTCACATGGAGTGAGGCTGAAGCAGGTCAGATGTCTGACACGTGGCTTCACTCCCACAACCAAGCACAGGACTGTGCTGCCACAGAAGCTGTTGGATACTTCAAATCCCATCCCTGACCAGCTGAGTGAGTCAGCAGGGGTTTGTGATACTGACAGTTCAGCTCCCTCAGATGCTGCTGAGTGCCCAGCCTCGTTCCACAGTGAAGCAGAGATATTCTGAAGAAATGACTGTCAGTTTGAAATTGTTCTCCTGGTCAAGTTAACTGAGTTCTCTGACTGACAGTGTGTGAAGATTTCCTGATGTAGCTGAAAGGATGACTAAGTTTGTTCTTTCCTTCACTCAAGGAATTTGTTCTAGAGAATTTTTCAGTCTTCCTCATGCTGGTTCATTTAAAATTTATGTCTTTATTCCTGTGCTCTAGGATTAATTTAGAGCAAGACAGGGAAAGCATCACTTCATAGTCACAATTAGGAATCTCATTTGGTTTTACTGCAGTAGATGATTGATTGTCTGATGTGAATCAGGTTGGTGGTTTCCCATTTCACAGCTTCCTGCAGCCTCCTGGTTGATTAGTTTATTCGTGGGTAAATGGATCATGGCTCAAATCCTGTTAATCCAAAGAGGTGGCATTTAATTTGCTTCTTGTAGGAGCTCTTCTTTGAGTACTTTGTTAAAATGAGGAGATGGTGCTTTTTTGGCAGTTTGATACTGCTGTCTTAATTTTATTTTGCTTTTTTTTCCCAGAAATATATACACATGCACATAAAAGACTCATTTGAAATGCTTTTGTTGAAGAAAAAATACTAAATTTTTTATTTATCTCTTTTCTGTACACTTTTTTTTCCCATTTTAATCTTCTGGAATGGAAAACTACCTGCTGTAACAACCCTGCTTTTGATGTGCATGTTTGTAAAACTTAATTGCTCCAATTCAGGCTCCAGAAAATGTGCACATTTTACATTGTGACAAATGTCTGCAGCGTTATATACAACAGAGTTGTTTTGAAAAAATATTTTGCATTGAAAATAGATCCATTATGCTTCAGTGAATGTGTAATATGCAAATATGTTTTCACCTACGTTGTTTGCTGTCATGTCTTTTGATTCATGTCATGTATATTGTTGCCTGTGTGTTTGGCTCACATAGTCTGCAGTGGATGTCTTACAGAACCTATTCTGAGAAAACCTCCTGTACTGTTTAGATGAAACAGTCACTGAAACTACTTCTTATATGCCAGAAAACTTGCTGACTCTTTGGATAAAACCAGATAACACTTAATTCTTAAAAGATGAAAGGATTTTTCTCTTTTGTAATCTTGCTTTACCTCTGCCATTTTAATTTTAGTAGTTGTGGAAAACAGAACTTTTGTAAAGCTGTCTGTCAAAGGGTTGAGATCTAACCTAAAAGCACCATTTTATATGAAGCCAGATTCTTTGTGAAAATGTTTTACCATCAGTACTGCTATGTACCATCTCAGAGCTAATACAGATTTTTTTCCCAAAGCTCTGTTGCTTTGATGTAAAAATGACAGCAATATTTTCTGTCCTTAATTGCAGGTACTGTTCCTGAAAATAAGAGGAAACATGGTTTACACGGTGAATGAAGCTTAAATTCCTGGACCAAAAACTGAGGGCTTGTTTTCATGAAGGATGGCAACACCATATGTTCCTGTTCCTATTCCTATTGGAAGTTCATCATCCAGCTTTACAAACAGAAACCAAAGAAGTTCTTCCTTCGGGAGCGTTTCAACAAGTTCGAGCTCCTCAAAAGGACAGCTGGAGGACTCTACAGTTGATAGTTTTAAAAAGATGAACGTGCCTGACCAGATTGGTTCCACGTCATCTGCGTGTAGCAGTCCCCTTGTTAGGACTAAATTTACAGGTCTGGATACGTCCATAGAATACAGTACTCAGCCTGTAGAAGAAACAGAGCAGAATGAAGATTCCAGGACCTGGGAAGATCGACCATCCACACCTACTATTCTGGGCTATGAGGTGATGGAGGAGAGGGCAAAATTCACTGTAAGTTTTGGGCATAGCATAGTTGATCCTGTAATGACAAGATAGCAATTGAATGTGCTTTGAGTTGTCTTTCAGGATTGAATCCTGCAGTTCAGGGATGTTGCCAGTTTAGCTTCAAAGTACTTCCTGACAGGAAAATACCATTCTTGTTGTACAGGTGGGAAAACTGGGACTAGCAAGCTGTCTTTCCTGTAATTGTGTATATAGAATAGAAGGAATTAATTCTGTTTCATGTATCAGTTTCTGCTGGAAAAGTCAGGAATTCCTTGCAGCTACAATTCCTTGTGAAATTGAACTTGAGTAAGTTCTGTGTAGTTAAACTTCTTGAGTAAAATGCAGTCTTCTATTTAACATGAACGATAAGAAACCTTGACATTAGCCCTTTGTAGTTATAAGTAACTTAGAATATTTCTGTTAAAGTGCAGACATGTCAGTTTCACCTTCTTGTCCAGCTCAGTTTTTAGTAAGGGGAAATCTGTTCTGCAAACAGACTGGGAAGTTGCTTATGCCATATCTTGTGCCAGAACAGCAGCTTAACTGGTTTGTATTGATTTTCCTCAAAGTGCACTGTAGCTGGCAGTTCATTTTTTTTGCATGCCATAAATATATCCACTTCCAATGTACTCCTATATTTGTTTTTGTGCGTGTTGTTGAAATATTTCTTTGAGATAGTACAGCAGTGCTTATGGGATTGATGGCTGTTTGTTACTGATTATTAATTATATTACTTAAGATGAACAATATTAATCAGAAATGGATAAGGAGAAGGAAATAGCAGACAAGCTTTTTTTTTTCCTCCTATTTTCTTTTAGATTAGAGAAGTGCAGAATCTTTATGACAGTTAAAATAGTAATGAAAACAAGATTTTTTTAGCAAAAAGTTAAGTAATGATGCTTTTTAATTATTTGAGAATGATACTCTATCTTTTCCTGAGATTTTCAGCTTCTAACATCTTCGTGCATGTTAGCATAAGAGAAGAGCAAAATTTTTTTTCATGGGTAAATTTAAAAAATTGTTTTAAATAATAGCCTTCAAAACCAAACAACAGTTGATATTGTTATGTGTACAAGGATTAGTCTGCAAATGCCACAGAATCATTTAGGTTGGGTAAGACCTCTAAGATCGAGTCCAGCCTTTGGTCACCCCCTTGACAACCAGATGATGGTACAAAGTGCCACATCCAGTCATTTCTTCAGCACCTCCAGGGACTATGACTCCGCCACCTCCCTGGGCAGCTCATTGCAACATTTAACCACCTTTTCCATGAAGGAATTCTTCCTGCTGTTCAGCCTGAACATCTCCTAGTGCAGCTTGAGGCCATTTCCTCTTGTCCTGTCACTGGTTGTCTGGGAGAAGAGACTGACCCCCACCTGGCTACAGCCTCCTTTCAGGTGCTTGTAGGGAGCCTCCTTTTCTCCAGGATAAATGTCTCCAGCTCCCTCAGCCACTCCTCACATGACTTACCCTCTAGACCTTTCACCAGCTTGTTGCCCTTCTTGTCTTTCTTGAAGACATAGCCAAGACATAGTCCAGTGTGCCTGTAAGGTGTTCTGTATTAACAATGACAACTTTGTCTCATTATTGTATGTGGAAGGCCAGGTCACAGTACAAGTGAAGCATTCTTCCACTATAAAATGCTTGGATGCATTTTTGCTCTTCCTGTTTTCACTTCTATTGCTGAGCTGGTTTCTGAAACCACACAATTAACTGTTTGTTTTCAGTTGCATGTTCTGCATGCAGTTTGCTGTTGTGCATTAAAGCCAGCAAGTAATTAGTCCTAAGAATTTTAGTTGCTTTTGCAATCAGTGAGATTTAGAAGACAGTGGGAGACAGTGGAAAGCAAATTAAATCCCATGTAAAAGAGAGGAGACTCAATTGCTGGATTCTTTTTTTACTGTTGGTCACATCTCATAGTTTCCAAAAATAAGAATCTGATTAAGCTGAATGATGTCCAAGTTTTGGGAGTTAGATATTAGTGCATGTTAGAGTACATGGTTGCTGAAGCTTATGGGAGAGAAAACCTAGGCTGAAAAATATCTCCTTGTAAACATTTAGTCTTAAATGAATTTGGGCTCATGGAATGTTCAATTAGCAGTCTTTTCCTTTTAATTTTCCTTTTTCTTTTTGCCAAGTAGAAATGGTAATAAAATGCTGAATCAGCCAGAGAATGTTGCCACATATGGGTGTATTTTCATTGATGATTTTCTATTTATAGAATAAAGCAATTCATGATTTAGTGGAATAAAATGAATTTGTTGAATTAATTTGTGTTTTTTCCCAAGATCTTGTATGAAGGAACTGAGAGGTGTTTTTGTAATACTCTATTCTTACTCACTAATTGCAGACCTTAAAGAAAAGCCAAAAAACACCCAACCACCTTTTTTTTAGCTTTTTCAGGAAAACCAAACATGTTTGTCTCAGGTTTCCCATAATTTTGAGGCTATTAATCACAAGTTGATTGCACTCCCTGTTGCAGTTAAGTTCACTGTAATTGGTGAACTTTTTTTTTAAAGTTATCTAATGTTCACTTGGAAATCACTCCATTTTTTTCTTGTATACAATGCTTTTGCAGAACTTAGAGTAGAATACAAGAATAGAATACTAATTGGCCAGTAAATTCACACACATATTCCAAAGTTTCTTGTTCTGTGTTTTATTGTGTACCAGTAAAGAATCTTCACAATTTTGCATTTAGTTATTAATTTTATTTATGAAAATAAAACTGTTTATACATTTAGTATGACAGTAAAGTAATAAAATATTTTAATAAGCATTTATACATAAAATACAAGGCAGAAAATTTATATTTTAATGCTAGTTTTGTAAGCATGTCCTGCAGCTTGAATTTTAAAAGCTAATAGCTTTTTCCTCTGTCAAAATCCATGAGAACACAGATGATGTGTCTTGAAATTGAAATTGTGTTTAAAACATAGATAAGAGAAGTACTTGCTGAAAAATTGCTTTTGATTTGCACCATAGTTATCTGTATTTTCTATAATTATCTGGAACTTAATATATTATGGAATACAAAATAGCTAGAAACAGTCTCAGACCTGTACAGAAGTTGGCTAGCACTGGGGTTATCACATGTTGGGACTGCAATAAGAAAAATAGACTTATCAGCTAAGACAACCTGCTGTGACTGCATGACATACTGGAGAAGATTTTACTATGTAACAGAATAGAAAATGTTTTAAATAGAATTTGGTAAAATAGTGATCATTTATCATTGTGATTCTAGAAGTACCTTTTTCTGTCTTGTATTATATTTTTTACCTACAGACTGGGAAAAATAACCCAGTACAATTGCAGAACCTGTCTTTCCCTACATTGGAGAGAGTAAGGTTATGACATTAGACACTCTTTAATGTCTTCTAGTTAAAGTTGTGTTGTTAGATCATTGTGTTCAGGCGTTGGAATATTAATCCTCCTAAAAAGTAATTGTAGTATTATTATCATCATTGTTTTGTTTCTTTATCCATTTGCTTTTAAATAGGAGTATGGTACTGCTGTGCTGTTGTCTTGCTAAATCTGATTCAAATATCCATTACTTCAGTTACACAGTGATGGTATAATCATTCTGGTGCAGCTTTCTAGTGAAATCATATTTGCCTGGGAAGACTAAACCTAATGTTCAAGACAAATGCAGTGGAGGATGTAATTTTATTCTGCATCATTTCTCCTTGTGAAGCAAGTCAGATGAGACATTTTCAATATCACAGTACTTGATTATTAACAATAATCAAATACTTGATTATTAACAGTCATCTTAAAAATAGAGAGGCCTCCAGGATCAATAAGTAAAACTGTAATTTAGCAAAGGTTAAAAGTAGATCATGGAAACACACTTCCCTTACTTTTTTGATAACCAAGCCTTTTGTTCTGCTGGGCAATACATTCTTTCTTACAGACAGAAATAGTTGTATGTATTTAGGAATTACAGGAACTACTTCCTTAAATTCTGAAATTAATTTAAACTCCTTGTACTGATAATTGCTATTTGCATTTCTTTAACTCTAATTGAGATATTTTTATCCACAAGTTTTGTTTCATTAAGAAATAGAGAATCATTTTAGCCTTCCAGACAATGCAGTGTGAAGTTTTGCACATTTTTCCTATATTTCTGTCTTTCCACACAGGTATACAAAATACTGGTGAAAAGAAGTCCAGAGGAAAGCTGGGTGGTTTTCAGACGGTACACAGATTTCTCCAGGCTTAATGACAAGGTGAGAATTATAAACTGGTAAATTCTCAGCTATCTTAACCTCACTTCTTTCATGTCTTATATTTTTGTTTTATCTTCTATTTTTTTTTCTGATTTTAATGCATATAAAACACATACTGTATTAATGACTGGAAAAATATGATTCCTCGTTTTTTCAAAGATACATTAAACAGCTGATGTAAAGAAGATGTAACAGCTTCATCTGAAGCTGTTAATGTGCTTCAAACTTTATATTTATTCCTAGTTTATATGATAAAGGAATTAACTCTTCAATATTTATCCCCTGCATGGAAATAGAATTAGGGGCTTGTATTCTCTTGTAAGAATATCGAGTAGTTATTTAGTTCTTTTCTGTGTAACAAACTCTAGTTTTGTTCATCATAAAACTGAAGTTTCATGAGCATAAATATGTTTTTTGTATGTTGGTCAGTCTTCAGTTGTTTTCAGTGTCTTCAGAGTTAATAGTGAAATACAATAGCAGATCTTTAAAGATGGAGGAAGCACCAGATGAATAGGAATTCTGGGCCAACAACTTAATATTTTTAGAATACTTGAAAAAATACTTGTCTGAAAAGCACAGATTTTTATGATTGGTGAATAGTGTTCACCTGTCAAAAGCAGAGAAACAATTGCCCTTTTCATTGCCAGTTCAACATGCTTTCTGCTAGAATGTTCTTCCATGTTTCAACACGAACCTTATTTCTTTACCCATTGTGAGGGATTTTTTGTACAGGTTATCACTTTGAGTTTGTGTGCCTAATCAACTAGTAGCTAAGTTCAGCTGAAATTTTGAAAATGGACTTGAACTTAAAAATTTCTCTGTGTTCTTGGTTTGACCTATTTGAATATCTTCTAGGCTACCTTTGAAACACCAGTGGTGTCTAAAACTAAATTGCTAAATGTGAATTAGTTCAGAGATTTCTTTCTGAAGAAATTCCTGTTTTAAATACAGTCTATCTTAAATTAAGGAATGTCTTGATATTGGCAAAAGCCTAACTTCTTTTGAGACAATGATCTTGGTATTTCAACTCAGATTTTGGAAGTCAAGTCGTACAGCAGTTTGCATTTTCATCAGCTATATCAGGTATAGGTCAAGAATTGGCTTACCTCCGTTGACTTTTAGTGTGGTTGTCAATGGTTTGAAACTTAAAATTCCAAAATAGCTATTAGAATAAATATTTAAATTTTACACATAGTCTTTGCCATCAAATGTTTGGCAAAAATATTTGGCTTTTACCATTATTTCTAGGTATTAGTATTTCTGTTTTAAGGAAAAAATCTCTATTTTTTTTTTAAATTTATGTCACTGTCTGAAGCTTTTTCACCTTTCAGTACACATGTAAACCATTTACTCTTTGTCTGTAAGACATTATACTTTTTATAATAGAGAAATGTCAGCTCTAGGAGCTTAAACATACCACCTTTGAGGAAATAGTAGAGAATTACAAAATAGTAATATAGTAATAGTTTGAAAACACATAATGAAATGGCCAGTCTTAAGAACCAAGAAGTTCACCCTGTCTCCCCAAGACTGTGACTCACATGATGTGTAGTGTGTCACATAGTGATGTAGGACGGAGTAGGAAGGGTGCTGGATCCAAGCAAGCAATCACAGCCAGAATAACTTATCTGACCCATGGGTTTTCTTGCTGTGTCTGAGGAGTGCTCAAGAAAGAATGCCCCAGGACTGTGCTGTTGAAAATGAGTCCACTGACAGCAGCTGAGTCTTACATTCTTCATCCACAAAAGGAGTAATCTGTGGGTAGGTGTACTCTCTCCTTAGAATTAAATTACGTGATCCATGTGACCAGACAAATGAAGTAAAAGTACCATTAAGGAGAGATCTGTGTGGTTGAAAAGCTTTCCCAGCAATGGTTATCTGCAGTCTTCTGTACAACTAACAGTTTGTTACATTCTGTGGATCTGTGGGTTCTGTCCTATTCAGATACATTCTTATGTATAAGGTGTTAATGATAACTTGGTAGGAGGTGAAGGAACTTCGGAGGACCAAAGATAAACTTAAAGATATAAAGAAGGGTCTAATATCCAGACGGAATTCAGTAACAGGAAAACATACTTAAGTAATTAAATCCAGAAATAAAGAGCAAGGCTTTGACCATAAACCATTCTGTAAATAAGGAAACAGAATTTATCATGGGTTATTTGAATAAACAATATTTGTCATGTTTAAAAAGCACCTCGTGCTGTAAAACAATAATTACATAAGCAAAGGTGATCCATTAATGTGGTTCTTCCTTCAGAGTGTGTAGAGAGATTCTATTTGAAGTGCAGTATCTGTTCTAAATTTTCTAAAACTTAATCTGGTGAAAGAGCTGCCCATTAGAATTTTCTATCACTGAAACATTCATAATAATATAATCAGTGTATTCAGAACATCTCTGACAGAAGTTGGCTAGATCCTGTGTTGAGAAAAAATGATGAAACAATTCTTGTGGCAGCTGAGATATCAAATTTTATAAAACCTATTTGCTTTTTCATGTTGGTTGTAAATCCTCTCCCAGATTTTTCTTTGTCAAGCATAACTTTGAAAGATTGTTTTTTATCAAAGTGTTAAAGTTTTTTTTATTATCATGCATATATTAGAAGAATAATTGGCACCCTTGGAGAGGTTCATTGTTGTTTAATTTTATGCTTTCGTCCACTTGTACATTTTATTTCCGAATTCAAAGAAAAAATCTGGGTATTTCTGATGTCAACTATACCTCATTGCTATTTAAGTAACTCAGAAATGCAGTTTTGCACATTACTAGGGGTTGAGCCATACTTGCATATTGAAAAGTTATTATTCTGGGTGTACAAAGAACTACTAATTACAAGAACTATCTCATGCATATGTTGTAATTTATTCTTCTACCCCCCAAGAAAGATAAGTTGCAGAGTTGTAGCTCTGAAATGGGGTTTTATTCTGTATATATGTATATGTAGTAGTTATTATCCCTGAGCACTTTAGAAGAAATACCACTGAAATTATTATTCATTTGATGCTTTTTGTTTTCAGTTTTCTTAGGTTTACAGACTCAAATGCTTTAAATAGCAGACTCAGACATTAAATAACAAAGCAAAGGTTTTCATTCCTATTTTTATGTGTTAAATTTGAGGAAAAATACAAAGCACTCTATTGCATAAGGCAGCAAGAGACAGAGCTGTGTCCGCAATTTAAGCTGTAATTTAGATTGTACTTATGGTTGAGACTTACCTTGTGCTTGAACTTAGCAGAAGTCAAAAATATCTTGTATATCTGAGTAAAGTCAGTGCCAGTGGCAAAATCAGTATTTTTCTCAAATTTTTTTCTTTTCTTTGTCTGTAATTTCAATTTCAGCTGAAAGATATGTTTCCAGGCTTTCGGTTGGCCCTTCCACCAAAGCGCTGGTTCAAGGATAATTACAATCATGACTTCTTGGAAGATCGACAGCTGGGGTTGCAGGCATTCCTCCAGAACCTAGTAGCTCACAAAGATATTGCTAACTGGTAGGTGATTAACCTTTGCTGGTTCATTTGTGGCTTTTTTTCTGTCCCTGCTTCTCTTATAAAACTCCTAAACTCCAGCAATGTACCTTCAGGCAGTGTGGTGAGGGATTTCAGTAACATTCATGTTGTGCATTTGGTCATTATGTGAATTATTCGGTGTCCTTTTAAATTAGTCCCATCTTAGCATAAAGAAAAGTGGAATTGCAGTATTTTGTACAGGGATAACTAAAAGCTGTAATATTTGAAATGTTAGAATAGTCCCATGTTTATTCCTAAAACATTACTTTTCTGATTTTAATGCAGAATTGATAATATTGTTAATTTATACTAGGTGTGTTAGGCTTCCATAATGGAGAGTACCTACACTATTATGCAATTAGTTCTTAAAATGTGTATTAAACTACAGGTTTTTTATTGACATGACATGAAAATTTACAGACTTCTGTACTTAAGTAAATGTAAACTACAAATCAAGAAAGTCTTAATAGTTTAGAAAACCTGATGTGTTTAAGCCAGCAAAGCGCAAAGATTTCTTTCCAACAGTATCTTTTTTTTTATACAAAGTGGGAGATTCTTCCAAAGCAGGAAAATTAATAGAATGTAATTCTGACAAATGAAATGTAAAATAATCTTGTTACAGACGAGAAGAGAATTTAAGTAAGCAATTTGCTAGAGGCAAAGCAGTTAGTTTTAAAATCTTTGCCAGGACCAGAAATAAAAAAGGTTGCTATACTAGAGATTCTTTGAGGAATGAGTCTGAGAACCTGTCATCATCTGAAACTTCATTCAAAAGAAAGAGTAAGAAGTGTTCTAAAGCAAACCTAATTCTCTCAAGAATTTTCAAGGAACAAAATTTTCAAATTCTCATGTTGGGTGTGGGACTGTGAGACCATATAGTGCTCATAGCTGCTTTACTTTTTAGTAGAAAGGGTATTACTACATTTGACATGTTTTTATAAGACATTTAACTGCTGAGTCTGGAAAATAGGGATTTTTACATGAGTCTGACTTTGGTACTACTTGTAGTAAAAAAAACAAAACTCTCAAAGTGGTAAGCAGGTAAATAAAAATGATATCATGTTTCCTGTAGAGACAAACAAGTAGTTATGACAGGGCTCATATAAAATGGTTAAAAGACAAGGGGAAAAGGACTGATGGAAATTTAGGGGTGGTACCAATAGAATGTTAGATCACAGTTGTGGACACTGACGTTCAGGACATCTTGAAATTACCTGGGGAATGGAATGAACAATGAGATCACAAACTATTGTAGAAGGATCCTGAGGTACTGAGTGACTAACATCAATTTTTGTGTCTTGAAGTAGAAAGTGGCAGTAAGTGCACCCATACAGATATATGAACTCAGCTGGTTTTGCAACTTGGAAAATAACTATTGGTATTGATACCACTAGTTTTCTGAATCAGTTCAGTACTCAGCAGTAGTCAAAAAGTTTCATTGAAATCATTAGAGGAACTTAAAAGGGGAAAAAGAAGTTACTGCTCTGGGAATCTGAACTGTACTTCCACATAGTTCAGTGCTAAAACACAGCATTCCCTCTCAAAGGAGGTGTCTGTTAGATGTACAGAGAAAACAAGCAAGAACAGATGAAGCTGCAGAAAAACTCCCCTGCAAGAGTTCTCTTTAGTCTGTTGTCTTAGGTGAGCAAACAGGGTGTGTGAAATCATCAAAGGGGAGAAGGAAGGTGAGTACAGAATGTTAATATTTTGATGATTCATAGTCATCCTAGCGTATGTCATGCTGAGTAGCAAAGCTTTGTTGTGAGATGTCAGAGACAAAGCTTAAAGGCTTTAGAAAAGAAATTGGGCTCAACTTATGAGTTTCTGTGTAAGTAGCTATTAAATATGATTATATGGGTGAGGTATGCAGCTGAGAAGTTTAAAAACTTCCTAATAATTAAATTACATAATAATAGGTGTGCTAAAAAGAATCAATCTCATCCCTAAATGTAACTTTTGTTATGCTGCTGGAGACACACTAGTGAATGGAATGGACTTGCTTAAATAGATCTGAAGTCTTTATGTTTCATATTGTTGCAGCTAGTTCAGCATTTCAGCAGGCTTGTTTGTATCTTAGTGATGGACCATATTGGACAAAATAGTGTTTATCATAGTTTAAGGCAAAAAACTCCAAACTATAACTTTTAGGCTGCATTGTTTATCAGATACAAAAAGGAATTAAAATAAAATGTTTGTGGAATCAGTTTGTCTTTTGGCTAATGAAGAGATGGTTAACTGAAATGGTTTGTAGAACTTTTGTCCGTGTAGGGCTCTGCATGAAAACAAAATTTTTTCATAAATTTTATAACCTATTGATATGATTCTAATGTTTAGATCTATGGAAGGTCTGAATTCTTCAAGAAGTGATTAGAATGAGGGAGATTTGATCCATCTAATATATTTACCTCCTTACCAGAGAATAAATTTACTATTAATGGGAATTAATACTTGTACCTCACATGAGCAGTGGTGAGCATTTCACCCTGTTTTCTCCTTTAAAGCTCACCATTTACTTCTCCCATTTTGCAAAGAAGTCAAACTGCTTGGGTCAGACCTAAACCAAAAAAGCCTTTTTTCTTTGTAGAGAAGTCTGTTTTATTTCTCTTTATATACAGTATTGACAGTGGGAAATTTGCTCTTCAGGGATAGGAGACCTCATTTGGTATATGTATTTTTTAATAAATCTAGATTCACAAAGTATTTTCAAAATAAAATGGAGTATAATATATGCAGGTGGCTAAATTTAGAGTTTGTGTTTTATAGACTACTCATGTTTTATGTTGTATTGAAGATTCAGTGAAAGATCAAACTGAAATCCACCCACAGAGTTAAGTAGTGGTCAGGAAAATTTCATGTAACTCATGAAGTGGGAGAAAGAAGTTTAACCTGCTAAACAGAAGCATCATCTGGCTTTATATAGATGACAGAGCTGTCCTGTCTCCACCCTGTATAAGAAGCTTGGAAGGGAGGAACTCGGTCACCTTGAGTCAGGGATCCCATGTGCTGCCCTGCCCCTTGCTGCCCTCCCTAGAGCTGGCACGGCAGCCAGCACACGAGTACAGCAAGCTCTGTCACAGGACAGGAGAGATCCCTGTGGTACTTTAAAGGCAGAATCTTCCATTCATGAAGTGAAAGGAAGAGGTATAACATGGAGAGGAGAGCAGGGTCAGAGCAGAATCTCAAAGCAAAGATAGGCTGTGAGTAAACGTTCATGCCATCAGGTGCCTATTTTAGATAAAGAAACAACAAAGTAAATATTCAGTGTATTTGAGGTAAGTGCTCTTTAGAGTCTTTTTAAAAATAAAAGTGATAATATAATGAATGATTAGTGTTTGAAGAAATTTCTGCTCATTTTGCTTGCCACAGCTGAAGCTGGTTGATTAGGATGGTAGGTGGATGAAAGTTTCCTTTCTTGTGTTTTTGCTTTGTGAAAATGTCAAATGCAGAATGATTGGAAAACATGCCCTCACCTTTTCCATGGGACCCAGGTGGGAGGAAAAGATAGGAAATTAAGTTTGGATTCACATTTTTCATTTTTGTGCACTCATTGCAGTAGGAGCAGATTTAATGATTTATAGTAGTGAGAACAAGCAAAGCATTGCTCCTAAGTTACTGCTTGCTAAATAATTGTGAATACAGTGTTCTGATTCGAGGTTATTTGAAGAAGAATTAATACAACCGAGAAGGAAAGTCTTAAAAAGGTGGCTGAAGGGACATGTTCCGAGATGTTTAGGAGTTCTGTGAAAAGTAGTCTAAATTTGGAAGACAGAATGAGACAGATGCTTAAAATACTCTGTAGTAAACCACAGGATTACACCTGCTTCTTTCATCTGGCCTTTGCAAAACAATGCACAGAGAGAAATGGCAACTGTTACACAAATCCAAATGGAATGCATTAGTTTGAAATGTGTATTCAGAGATGGCTGTGTAGTAGATCCATGACATATTGTCTTCTATTATTTTATAACCTATTATTTATATAAAAATATACACTGTATATATAAAAATTACATAATGTGTATATGTCAATGGATTATGATCTTAGAAAAATGGAGACAGGTGTACAGATTGCAATACTTATGCTTAAATCCCCTGATACTACCTGAAGATCTGCATATGGATTTTGACAGCATACTTTTCATCCATCATATAGTACTAATTTTATAATACTTATTTTTCTCCAGGAGAATTTTTCAAACCTTTTCAATATCAAAGTGATAAACTTGCCAATTATCATATAGCAACAGATTCTATGAAATTTTTTAAAAATCATGAAAAATCGTGTTCTAAAATTGCTTACTCATCTTCATAAGTTACATTCTAAATACTGTCCCTGGTCAACACATACAACTGAGGCTTAATAGCTTGTTAACCATTTATTTGTTATTTGTTGTGAATACTTAGGAGTAAATTTGAGGGTGTAACTTTTTGTGTCACTTAAAGAAATACCTCCATTTTGTGATCATTTTTAAGTGTTGTTGCTGGTTTTGTACTTCCAGTAATTCACTGTCTTTTGTTTGGTAAAGCCTTGCAGTGAGAGAATTTCTTTGTCTGGATGATCCTCCGGGTCCTTTTGACAGTCTAGAAGAAAGCAGGGTAAGTGCTAAGTAGTAGGATAGAAACAGAATGCAAGAAGCAGATGTTTTTAGCATATTGTTGAATCTGTGTAATGATACAGAATTAAACACTTTCTGTTCTTTCACAAAAATCACAAAAGGATGTGTTTCTAGAATGGGTGTAGTCTGATAATTGGTACACACTGATTGTCTTTGACTGCTGTACTTCATCCCTGTCCCAAAATATAGATCATCTTTTTTGCCCTTTTTTGGGACATGGATGAAGTTTGCTTTGTAAAGCAACTACTTATATAAGGCACCTACTGACTATAAGGAGAGATTTTATAAGTTTATTTTCAGCACATTGTTACAGTGCTTATACCTTAGATCTCAGGTTTTGCAGGAAAATGTTTCTTGCTGTAAAATCACAGTATCATAGAATCAAGGAATGGTTTGTGTTGGAAGGAACCTAAAATATCACCTACTTCCAACACCCCTGTCATGGGAAGGGATGCCTTCTCATGTAATGAATGCAGTTAAATTATTATTTCTCACGACTAAAAATAGTGTTCTTGCAGAAAACTAAGTATTGTCAAGTAGTGTTGTAAACCAGCAGCCTTTCAACAAGCTTATGAGCACAATGAACAAATAATAAGTGTGTTTCAGTCTGTTTTCTTAGAAATAAGTTTTACTGACATGCAGAGCAGTATCAAGGTTGTCTAGAGCAGATGATCTTAGTTTTCTTACTTTATAGAATAACTGTGTTTTTGAATTGTACATACCTTGTTAGTCTTACAGAAATTATGAATGTTAAATGATGCTCATTCAACTAAATTTATATCTGCCAGTTTGTTTTGCATGTAAGTAGGATTGCCTTGGTTCTTGTTACATTGCTATGTGCATGTGAAAGATTCAGTATCTTTTTTGTGTCACAAGCTCATATTTGATTTCTGTACAATCTCTTTTCATTACTGATATTTAAGCTGATGAATTTTTTTTAAATTACCATAATTGTTCACATAATTTAAAAAAATTTAAGTACCTTCTTCATTGAAATTTCAGTCATGCATGCTGTGGTGAAATCTGCATTCTTCTTCCACTGGAATTTAATCAAACCATTAAAATAGCTGTGCTGTGTAGTTTTAGCTATTACCCATTTCTGTGAAGCTGTTGAGACTGCTGTTATAAAATTCTCCAAGAGATACCCCACCTTATTTATAGAGTGACTGAGGTTGGAAGGGACTTCTTGAGATCATCTATTCCAGCCCTCCTGGCTCAAGTAAGGTCAGCTGCTGCAGGTTGCTCAGGTCCATGTCCAGTCAGGTTTTTAATGTTCTACAGAGGAGACTTCACAGCCTTTCTGTCCAGCCTGCTCCAGTAGCTGACCACCAGCACAGTAAAAAGGTGCAACCTCTCAGGTCTCATGGATATAAGTATATCCAGTTTGTTTAAGTGCTCCCTGATCTGGTCTTCCCCCCCTGCAGATGAGTTTGTCTTGACCTTCCATGTGGCTGCAGGGAAGGAATTACTCAAGGCTGTTTTTTCCAATCAACACAACAAGTCCATGGTTTCCCATCTTTATTTTGTTGATGATGTACTTGTAGAATCCTTTTTTTGATTCTTTTCACATGCCTTGCCAGATTCAGCTCCAGGTTGTCCTTCACTTACATAATCCTGTCCCTATAAGATCAGACAGCAGCCTTAGATTCCTCCTGTGCCATCTCTCCATGCTTTCACCACTAGTAGAGTTGCTTTTTATGTCTGAGCTCAGGAGACTCTTGCTCATCTACACAGCCCACCTGCAACCTTGGCTTGACTTCCTACTTGTTGAGCTGTACTTACTGACCCTGCAGATGGTGATCCTTAAATATCAACTAGCTCTCCTGGACTCCTCTTTGCTCCAAGGTGTTTTCCCATGGATTCTTCTTTAAGCAGGTTTCTGAAGAGATTTGAAGTCTGCTCAGCCTGAAATCCTTGGCTGTGGCCATGCTTTTTATCTTGCTTCTGATTGTTAGGAGAAATCCTAAACTCCTGCACACTAAAAGCATCTATATCCATCCCTTACTGTTTGTTGCTTTTTTTTTTTTCTTTCCCTGAACTGCCTTATAAAGGAAAAGCACCAAGGTTCATGTACTTATTCCTGGAGTTCCTTTTTAAAGATATCTCAAAACTTCTGTTTTGCCTTTCTATTACCATCCAAAGCATTGCAGAAAAAATCTTGTTTTCCTAATAATGGAAAATATGGATATCTTCTATTTGGTTCATGTCTATTCCGTTATCCCAAGGACTTGCCAAAACACATCTTTTCCAGGGGAGAGATACAGATACCTGCTCCATTAGAAGCTGATTAGGTCAAGAAATTTAATCACAGAAGAGTAGGCAAAATATTCACTAATTTTTTTTTTTTGGTCATATCCTTGGTAGTTGTTTCCACAGCTCTTTTCCCAGCAATCTCTGTTTCATGATCTGAAGAAAGAAGCAAAGTTGTCTCCTGGTTGTCCTTTCAGAAATTCAGGAAAAATTAGTCCAGCCTGGGTATTAGAACTGTTCCAGATTCCAGGTGTCCAGCTATCTAAAGAACAAGATAGGGAACAGTGTCTACTGAGCTTTCTTAGCTTTGGTTCACTTTTCTGCTATTGCAGCATCCTTCAGAATATACTGATGATTTCTTACTCAGTTTTGAACAGTGCCTGTGTTTGCTTGGGAAGCTCATACCCAGATTGCAGATAGAGATGAGTTTTTCCCAAAGGCTTTATTCAGTTCTCACAACAATGAAACAGTTTCCAACACTTGTGCAATATTTTTATCTATTTTTGGTGTAGGAAAATTTTCATGTGCATACATCTAAAGATTGAAATAATAAACTTAATTATATTCTTTAGGAAATTATGAACAATTTTCTGTTAGGATATCAGCAACCTTGAATATTTTTACCAAGAGCAGAAAAATTTACTTAAGTGACTTGGCTGAAATGGGATGACTGCTTAACCAGAGTGATAGCTAAAGCAATCACTATAAATGCTGTGTCAAGAGTAAGTTGCATGACACATGTTCTTGGCTCTAGTAGACATGAATAAAGCTATGGCTTAACTCATGACTGGTATTCAAGTGCCTGTCAACAAAGATAAATTTGCTATCTGAGTCTAAAATAAATTAAAATTCCATGGAAAAAATATGGTTATTGAATTGAAAACTCCTCATTTGTTTGTATTGTATAATTACAGGAAGACTTAACATTTTAAAGATCATGAGACTGCTTCAGTTAAAGCAAAGGATAGTATATTCTTGATGTTTGTAGCCTGTTTTAAAACTTCAGGACAAACAGGATCTTAAAAGCATTGCTCTTAATTGAGCTTGTATAAAATGTTTATATTCAGTAGACTCTGAGTTGGTGGTTACTTGCAGGTAATAGCAAGCCAAGAAAGCCTCCCATGTGGGGCTCTTACTTATAGAGCACATGTAAATTATTAAGTCAGAGCTGCACATTACTATTGGAAGACTTGTGCTTTCCAGTAATAGATGAGGAGGCTCTGTGCCAGCTCTTCTGTCATTTCCTGTATTCAGAGGATGTTGCATTAGACACTGGCTCATCACGTTGGGTTTTGCAATTGCTCACTGACAGATCCATCAGGGTGTGTGATACAGACGTGCCATGCTCAGCAGAGAGCCAGCATATTTGTCATGGCTGAGTAGTTAGTGTTCACAGCATCCTATTAAAGGTTTTCAAAATTTTTTTTTTCCTGGTCTTCTGATTGTCATGATTTCCTATTTGTCACAGGTGTTTGGTACAGAACTGTATAGCTTTGTCTTTATCCTGGGTAAGGAAAGAATATGTATTTAATCCAAATGTTCCTCACATCATGGGAATACATAGATACTTTGAAACAGACTTTCAAATCATGTGGAAACAAAACTTACCATGAGAAAAGGAAGCAGGAAGTTCAGTTTATGTTCCATGTAGGCAAAAAGGTTCAAAATCAGGAACTACTCTTCTGGTATCTCTCTCATTTTGAGACAAATAAACTATACTGATGGTGGGGTCACACAACTGACACCAAAAATGGAGGCAAGCATCAGCAGTTTATTACTCTACAGTATAATTCATACCTTTCCTCTGTGAATTCCCACAGACAGCAACACTGACTCCTTCCTCTCTCTACTGCTGGCCAACCCACTCTTATAACACACATCCCTAGTGGACACAGCTGTGACCTGTTAAGGGCAAGGCTGCTTCCACTCTTTGGTAATTAGTGCAGCTGCAACTCATCAGGGTGAGGTTGCCCACAGTACCATCTCCATTCTTTTACAATCCATTCTCCCACATGATATGATTAAAGTATTTGCATTGCAGTTTAGCATAATAAATTCATCATTCAAAGCAAAGCAACCTTATTAAGATAAGAATTTTTTTTTTAATTTACATCGCTTTTTATAGTAATCAATCTGAAGACAAGCGGCTATAATACTGTTGCAGGTTGATATTTCTAAGAGAAAAGTCAGTAAAGGCAGTTCACTGAAGTTAAATTGAAGATGCACTTAAATTTGTCTTTTAGGCTTTCTGTGAAACTCTGGAGGAAACAAATTATCGCCTACAAAAAGAACTGCTTGAAAAACAAAGGGAGGTTGAATCACTGAAGAAATTATTAACTGAAAAGCAACTTCATATCGATGCTGTTGAAAGAAGAATTAGGTATGTAGAAATTTTAAGGGTTTTAGGACGTTATCTCCATGAAAGCATTTTCTCTGTCTAGTCACAAGAACCAGCTTTAGCTGTATCTTGGAAACCATTTTCCCTACATAACTACACACAAAGCAATATTTTCAGTAAGCTCTTTCTCATATGCTGGCTAAAAGCTATTTAGTACAAATGACTGAGAAGCTTGTCCTATCTTTTCCCTCTAAAGTAACTGTGATTGTTTCCTAATCCTTTAACTCCTGTAAAGATAGAGCAAGATTTTGTTCTGCTTTTGAAATGCTGAAAATGTGAAATGCCCTGCTAGAGATGGGTGGGAAAATTGCTTTGAGTTATAAAATTCTGTCTGTACTCAAAGCTTTGACAGAGCATAGTGATCAAGCAGTTATATATCTGTAATAATTTAATTTTGTTCTGAATTGCTTGGAATGAGGTGCTGTAAGCTCCATTTAAATAGCATGGGAGATTGTCCACTTAAACCCAAGGGAAAACAGTACCTGTCTGCTAAATTCTGTAGCAGGAGCTGAGGAATTGATGTTGTGCTATCCAGTGTCCCATTAGAGCTGCTGAGTCAGTATTGCGGCATTTTCTTAGCAAAAGAGTGAATTCCTATGGTCCCATTAGAACTTCACAGAATTATAGAATTATTTAGGAACCTTAAAGATCATCCAGTTTCTGCTAGACCAGGTAGTTCAAGGCCCCATCCAGCCTAGCCTTGAACCCTTCAGGGATAGAGCAGTCACTTCTCTGGGCAACCTGTTCCGGTGCCTACCACCCTCACAGTAAAGAATCTCTTCCTGACATGAGATCAGATGAAAAAAGATCCCCTCTGCATGTGTGTCAGACCAGAGACAGAGAAGAAATTTATTATAAAAAAAATTGAAATAACTTTTAATACCTGAATGGGTTGCTGAGTCCAGCATATCCAGGTTGACTAACAAATCACACCTTAAAATGTGAACTACCTTTGGAAAAGGCTTTAAATGCAATTATTGTGGCTGACTGAAAATTCTGATCAGAATACCATATTCAGTTTGTTGCTTACTCCTGAAGGCAAATAAACACATTTGGAAGATCCTTCCCCTGTTTGTTAAGAAAGTTATGACATGCTGCTGCCTTAAATAGTGAAATAGTCAGGAAAAGTTAAATAACTTGCATTTGGCTAAAACATCATGATAGGAAATTGTGTGACAGAAAATAAAAAGGCGTGAATAGCAAAAAGGGACTTGATATTTTAGTGTTTTCCCTGAAGATAGATTACATTTTTTAAATACTCAAACACACTGCTAATTTCCCAGACCTGTAAAATTAGTGAAAGTCAGCCACATCGTGTCTGAAATCTTGATGAAAAATAATTTCTGTGACTTCTGGCTGTAAAAATAAACAAGATGACAAGTGTTTTCAGTAAAGAACTTCAGCTTGTCTGATGGTAAATGAACCCAAAAGAACTGTGTCTGTCTTTGGCCTTGTTGAAGTAGAATTTTTATTTGATGGCCTAGCAATAATTAAGCATCTTATGCCTACATGCTCTAAAGGCCAAGTACCTACAATGGATGTGTGGTAGAAGAGGACAGGTCCTGAGAACTGCAGGATTACTATTACATTATTGCTGGATTTGGCTCAAACATAGGCTGGTAGTCATGTTACAGAGTGCCGCTAAGGCTTTACATAAAATGCATGCATTTTATAAATGCATTAAAATAAAATAATAACAACAGTAGTTAGAGCAATTTTAAACAAGAAAGAAATACAGTAGTATCACTTTAAATGCAAAGTGGATCACAAGCTTTTGTTTCCAATTCAATGCTAAATTGATGTAAGTTTTCCACATAGAGAAATGGTTTGGAAAAAAGGATTTCTTTGGTCAATCTACGTGACCATTTGTAGCTAAGCTACCTGGACCATTATCTTGTGTTGCCATTCAGAAAAAAATTGTCTTTATTACTAATGGAAAGATGTATTGCTTTGAAACTTAGTGTGTGGTTTTGTAAAGTTACAGTGAGAAACTATTGAGGAAATCTTTTTGTCATCCTGCTGTCTTCCTTTTGAATATATTTTGGTTATAATCCTTCCGCCGTTTAGGCAAGATATGTGTGGCTTAGTCTGAATGTAATTTTTTACCTTAAGTCATACTCACTTCTCTGGGACTTGAATTTTGTGAAGCTACCAAATTGTCATGCAACCAGAGAATGATGAAGTGGCCTGGGTTGGAAGGGACCTGAAAGATCATCTAATTCCCAACCCCCTGACATGAACAAGGACACCTTCCGCTAGACCAGGTTGCTCAGAGCTCCATCCAGCCTGGCCTTGAGCTTTTCAAGGGATGGGGCATCCACAACTTCTTTGAGCAACCTGTACCAGTGCCTCAGCACTATCCCCATAAAGATTTTTTTCCCTAATACCCAATATAAACCTACCTTCTTTCAGTTTGGAGCCATTCTCCCTTGGGGGACAGTCCTGTCACTACAGGCTGTTGTAAAAAGTCTCTCTGCATCTTTCTTTTAGGTTCCCTTCAGGTACTGGAAGGCTGCAATTAGGTCAGCCCAAAGCCTTCTCTTTTCCAGGCTGAACAATCCCAATTCTCTGAGCCATTGCTCATAGGAAAGGTGCTCCATCCCTCTAATCATCTTGGCAGCTCAGAGATTTAGAGGACTGAAATTAATTCAGGAATAAGCAGCTGGAGCAAACGAACTGTTTAAATAGCTATCCAGTGCAAGCCCTGCCATCTCTGTACTAGTCAAAGAAATGGGGCATGCAGGAGTGAGACTGAAAGGTTACTTTCAGTCTTTTTGCAGAAGTTGCCAGGGTTAAAATGAAACAAAGAGTTCTTCAGTGACAAATGTTTGCTGTATGGATTGGTGGTACTCTGTTCTTATCTGTTGTAGGGATTTATCTTTAGGAAAAATGACTCGTCAAATGTCAGGAGAAGAAAGTGAGTGCAGTGGTGAGGTGGAGTCTTCTGCAGTAGAAGCAGACCAGGGTACCCTGGGTGAGGACAGCTGGTAAATACTATTATTTTACTTGTATTTTAGTTATTCTTAAAGTATGTGTTTTGAAATGCTTAGTCTTGCATTAATTCTGCACAGCTGAGAAATTCAGCATTTTACTGCACCTCTCTGCTGCCTAAAGGCCCTCAGGATAGATAATTTTAGATCTGGAATAAGTGATAAGTTAAAAAAGCTTTGTCAGTGTCTTGTGGATTGTCTGCCTAAAATGGCTATAGAAAATCATACCAGTTTGCACTTATTGATCTGTCTTTGCAGCTCAGACAAAGAGAACCATGAGCCATGCTGGAGTGGCTCTTTGGCTGGAAATTCTGTCCCAGAAATTGAAGTTGCTGAAGTAGCCTATACCACGGATGAAGAATAGCTGAGCAGCAGCGGCTGTTACCTGAGAAAGGTTCATGTTAAGGGTGTGTCTGTGGGTAGGATCATAGAGTAGCTGTGAAGAATTCACAGCAAAGAGCAAGAATGCACATATTGAATGTTTACATAAATCCTTACAAATTATTAATGTAAGAAATATATCCAGTGCTGCTTTGATTTCAGTTTGTATCTAGCCTTTATATATTTAATATATTGAAGTCTAATAAGGGCTAAAAATCAGCTAAAGTTTAGGTAGTGTGTGTATACACAATTTGGTTGACTTTCCTAGCAGAATGGCAAAAGTTTCACATTAAATCATGGAACACATCTAACTCATATGTCATATATTGCCACTGTTGTGACACATTTGGTGTGTTCATCTGTTTGGTATTTGTGTTTTCTTATAGCCATAAAATAATGCTTGCTAAAGTAAAAATGGACTCATTTGTATAGGAATGGAAAAAATGTTTGTTTTCAATTCTAAAATTGAAGAAAGCTTCTCTGGAAGTTTTATGCAATGCAACAGGAAAACTTCCAGTACCAAGAGAAAAGCAGTTACCCAATGGGATCATAGTTGGACGTTGTAAAATGGTCATTTTTGCTGAAAGAACTGATCTGAGACCCCCAAAACACTGTGTATTTTCATCCCAAGATAGCATGCTGTAATACTTTTTGTTCAGTAATGCTGCTTTGAAAATCTGGGATATCTTTGTTATATACTTGTAACATGTAACAACAAAACCTGTAAATTTGCCTTTTACTCAGAACACTACCTCTTACCACCTTGCTAATGCATTCATGTTTGTTTAAAAATATTCCAGATTATATGGAGGCTACTGAAAGACATGTAAAGAAGCCATATTTTTTTCCTGCACAGTTGATAACTAGATTGAATCTAGTTGCAGTGTATTTTTGTTTCAATATATTGTACACATGGGGATGTTGTTTCCTATGTTGTATAGCCTATTTTTCAAAATGTATTAAGACAGGAGATGCACTTTATAATTAAGACTCCATTGTGCCAAGTTCAGTTGGCTAATTGGTTGAGAAATGGGAGTTGCAGGGAGAGGATTATGTAGTGCCTTTTTGTATTTTACTTGTTCATTACTGCAGAATTTTGTTACAGCGCTCTGGGTCAGTTCTGTGGAATCTTTGATACAGCATTTTTCTGTTCTTCACTTATTTCCTGAAAGTGCCTTGTTTTATTATGCTTTTCCAATAGAAAGAATGCTGTTTTGGTTTTGTTTTGTTTTTTTGGTTTGGTTTTTTTTTTTGTTTTTTTGCCCTATACCACCCACATCGTTGTTTAATGTTGTCAATATGCAGTGTCTTTGTGCTGGAGTTTTCAAAGGGAGCTTTGTACTTCAGGCTATGCATACAATGACCTTTATGCAGAACTGTATAAACCTTCCTGGTGAAATAAAACTATGGACAAAACACCTGTCTTCTTTTTTTTGCATTGTAGAAAAAAACACAAACATTTAATGCCTTGTCAAGTAGAAGGATAAAATACCTCAGAGATTTCCTGCACTTACTCAGCCTTGGTCTGAATCCTATTTTTACCAAAAATTGTCTGCATGAAAATGAATGAGAGTGCTGTGACACCAGAAACCTTACTGTACTTCTGTTGAAGGTAAAAGTAAAAAAGGAACTGATTTTTTTTTCAATATCCTGCATAAATCCTCATAGATGTTGAGTGAACTCAATAAAGTTTTCGCACATTATTGAAAATACATGAAATCTTGTGTCAGATGTCACTTATATATTTGAAAAGATCAAACTTAGTCTATTAAAATATTGTTGGGTTTACAACTATAAAGATTTAAAAAATATTGAAAAGGTGCTTGGATCATACATGCCTGGGATTTCTGAAGTACAGCAGGTAAATCTGCAAATCTAGATGTTAAAGAAAGTATTAATATAATTTGCAGTTTAGTCATGAGAGGGCAAAGAAATGAAAACTTCAAGATTTAAAAGATACTTTGCTAACCCAAAGTATTTAGTATCCTATGAATAGACTTTTTTTTAAGGGGGACCTTGTTGCAACTAAACTGAGCTGGAAGAAGTGAATTTGTTCAGCAGCAGCATGGTATCACTTCAGCTATGTTACTGGTTAATGAATGGTTGTCCTCCCTGAAGGACACGCAGAATTTGAGGTGGACAGCCCATTGTGGCCTTCAACATCTTGATCAAGGTTTATTTCGAGTCAATCCCATAGTGATTTTTTTTTCTGCTGCACTGTTTGCATCCATTCTGGCACTATTTTACATGTGTTTCCTTCATTTTTCACTCACTGCTGCAATTTCAGTACAGAAGAAGCCAAGTTTCCAATATTTTATTTGTAAGAATTGACAGTGGAGTTCTGTGCTCTGCTGAAAGTGCAGAGGAATATTCAAACTGGAATTGTAGCAGAGTGATCTAGTCACAAGAAAAACAAGTAACAGGTGGTTCTTTTCTGTTGATTGTTGATTCTATTAAGGTGATTGCCTTAATAGCTCAGCCACTGATGTACAACAAGGTTTTCCCCTTAGTTTTAGATTTTAATGCATAGTGCGTAGTTTAATTTTACTGGGGCCTTGCATTTCTTTAATACTGCATATTTTAATCCTGAAGGATTTTTTATCCTCCAAAGCACATGCAGTCTGCCCACACCACTTCTCTGCTTTTGCTTTGTGTACTGCTAAATGAATTAAAATGCTGACTAGTATTTAATCAAGAATGAGTCCTATAAACTCCCACTCCATACCTTTCCCACTGATGACCATTGAGTATAAAACACACAACACAACAGTTTACAGTTTTACAGTTGATGTGAAAAGGGACCAGGAAAGCTCCTGTTCTAGATGGTATGTCTGCCCCACATGGGTTTTACTCTCTCCAGCTCATTAGAACAAAAAGTAATTTGATTTTTTTTCTCTGCAATTTTTATTTCTTTTTTTAAATGTAGCTATGAAGGAACAGCATTTATTCTACTAGAAGAAATTTGATTTTGAGCAGAACTTTCTGTAGGAAATTTCATGTGGTTTGTTTGTGGAGGAGTTTTTCCTATGCTAGCTATGACAGGCTCTGATACATGCTGGGTGAGTGGTGTGAAATTCAAAAAAGTTAGGTTCTGAAGTTGCTGCTACAATCAGGTTTTTTTTTTAGAAATGTCAGATAACACAAATCAATAGGCCAAATCGCCAAGGAAAGGAAGAATCCTACAGGAATGCCAGGTCTTAGGGGTCTTTCTTCTTTCATTCCTTCCTGTATTTCAATTAAGTCTTCGTGCAAGAGATCAGAACATTCCAATTACTAGACAGTTCCAACATTCCAAACTAGATACATATTTTTCCGACAAAATGCAGAATTTGCTTTAAGGGTAACTGAACTGTGTCCTCACATCCATGTTTGTTTGAATCTAATAAGGAATCTAGGAACTGATAATGCAGCCATCTCCAAAAGATGTCTCTCTTAAGAGTTTGTACTCTGGCTGAGCAGTCAAGGTACTGACCAGTGGAGTCAGTGGTTCTATGTTTTTATAATCTTCAACACATTGTTAATGCATGGGATCTTAACCTCCTAGAGGAAAGATGAGAGAGAATGGAAAAGACAGAAGGGAAAGAGGACAAGAGAAACTTGTCCATAGTTTACATTTTTCCCCTTTCAAAAGTAAAAACTTGTTCATTTGTTGACCAGAACTGCTTCTCCACTAATTTTTAGTTTCTGTGTTGTGAGTGGTTTAGGCTCTGTGTTAATTGTAACCCATTCAGGAACACCTTCTCCCACAGCACTGGTGTTTCTTTGCCAGCCTCGCTGTGCTAACCTTTATTCCAGTCTTGTTTCAGGGGACAACATTTTGTGTTCAGTCCTTCTCAGGTTCTGCATCGCAAAGAAAACACTGAGCCCAGGGCTTCTGCCCAGTCTTTTTGATCTGCCAAGATTTTATTTACCTTTTGTTTCTGATGCAACTATGTGGATTCAGAGCAGTGGAAAAATAGGGCAAATACTAAACATTTAGCATAAACTGCTTTATGCTAAGCAATAAAATATTAATGTATCTATAGATATCCTTATTTTGTAATAGATACAAATGACAAAACGTTATCCTCAGAGTAATAGTGACTGTTGGTCAGTTTACAGATTATTCTCCAGTGGGTATATTGAGTGTTGTACTGGAATACAAAATGTTTCTCTTTAAATTTCTCCTGGGGTTGATGAGTTCAGAACCATTCTGATGGTTGTTCTAGAGTCAGGAAAAGGCTGTCAGGAGACATGTTTTAAGCATAACTCTGTGTCACATACAAAGCATCTTTTTTCTTCTGGTGGACATATTTAAAAGCCCCAAACTGCAGGTTTATCCAGCATCATCAAAACAAAGTGATATTAGGATTGAAGAATCCTGTTTAACAAGTGTCAGGCAGAGTTACACTGATGCTGCCCAGAGCACAGGATGTGCACAAGCAGGATGTTTCCAAGACAAGCATTTTTCACTGTCATGTAACAGGAAGGCTGAAGGAGCTCTGTAATTGGCTGAGTTCTCAAATGTAATTCTGTTCAGCTGGATAAATCAGCCTGATGTATACACTATTCTTACTTATGAGAATGAGATTTTTTTACCTGAAGTCTTTCTCCGACAGAACAGCACCTGACACTGAAATTAAAATTCAGGAAAGCTAGTGATGTTCTAACTCAACTGGCAAAGCTTCTCTTTGTCCTTTTATACCTTTAACCTCCCCCTGACACAGAGAAAAATGGTCTTCAGTGCATTTCTCCTGTGTATAACCCAGATCCTCACTGTTTTCCTCCCTGTTTGTATGACTCGTGCCTTTTCTGTCTCATTAAGCACATCAGAGCATCCAGCCCAGGCTTGAATTTTGATATGGCTTGCAAATATCGCAAACTGCAAAGCAGGGCAGCATGGCTCTGGAGAAAGAGGAGGCATGGACCTGGGAGTGCTGAACTTGGAGTAATAATTTCAGTCCTTAGTCCCTGCTAGCCAGAGCTGAACCCTTTGGCTTTGGGAGACGGGGACCTCACCTGTCAATGCATCACCTGTCAGGAGGAGATCACTCCCCACAATGCAGAAACCCTCAGCATGGGTCTTCCTTCTAGCAGAGACCCATCAAAGCACTGGCCTAATAAATGGGATTCTGGAATCAACTCAGCAGTGGCCAAATCCCATCTATTTTAAGGGAAGTTACAAGGTTCTGCACCTTAACGTTTTGCTAAACCTTCCAAAGCAGTGCTCTAGCCTGTTTCCCTGGTTTTCAACACAATCTTCAGGGAGACCTTTTCCCTTTTTAGCCCTTTTAAGCTCTTCATGGAAACCCTAAAGGCTTGCTGATTCATACTCAGCACTTGTTTGACTTGAGGATCACCAGAGTGCTCGACAAACAAAGTTTGTCCCCACTTTGTATCTGAGATAGGTATTGTATTTCCCTCTGCTGTGCAAACAAGGAACCTGAGGACAAGAAAGCAATTACACGATTCACCCTAATTGCACAGTAAGTCAGTTGGTGCAGTCCTAGGGTTACTGCTGACTCCCTTGACTTGTCAGCAGGCTAAAATTAGATTATTTGCTGATCTAGTGAGACTTTTGCCTGTACAATACAGGAACTTAGTCTTGATATCTCAACTGGATTTCAAGTACGTTTAAATATCCTTGCTTATAAATTATTTGCTGCTTCTAGATTTATAATATTCCTTTCTTCTACCAGTTCAAATTGAACACACTAGGATGCTTGCATGTGGTGGAGAAACAGGCCTCTGTTTACTCCATCCCATGTGGATTAATGCTTTTCATTGAGAAGAAACCATAGCTGCCACAGCTGTTTTATGGAAATGCTGAGGATGACTATGAAACACTGCTTGCTTGCTTGCTTGGCAGTTAACGTGGGTTTGCCAAGCATTGTTCATCTGGCAAACACCTACTGGGAGAAGGTTGCATATTGACCTTTCATGATCTCATTATTGCTTTGCATTGTCTGAAATATCAATAGATAGATAGATAGATAGATAGATAGATAGATAGATAGATAGGAAGCAGCTGCAACATGTGGCAAAACTACAGGATCTCTCCTCCCAGATTTCCTGTGGCTCTTTCTAGGCATTTCTGGTAACCAGGTTATGGGGTGGATTGTTGGTGGTGTGATGGAGTCTCCATTTTCCCCTCATTCTGCAGGATAAATACACCTGTTACAGGGACAAGCAGAGGCAATCAGCAAGAGCTCCACCCTATTATGGCAGCTGCTTTCTGCATTTAGAAGTCTTGCCCTGAGAAGTTCATGTTTGTACGTGGATGTACATTATGAATTTATAAATCTTGCAGCACAGCTTGTAGGATAACTGTAAACCTAACAAAAATATCAGGAGCTTCCTCTTAGATTTTAATTTGGTGAGGAGGTAATAATTTGCATTGGAAAAAAACAGATGAGAAAACTGTCTCATTCTGTGTAATCTTTTGCAAAAAAAATTACTAAGATTCAGTGAGATGTTTGTGTGCCTATAGAGACACTGCTCCTGCTTAGATGTACAAAAGCAGCCTAAAAAGTGTGTTTCTTGTAGAGATAACTGCAGAAAATGACCGGTCATATCTGACTTAGTTATTCCTACCTAAACAGGCAATTAAAAAATAATTTAATAATGCAGCAAAATTAATGTGCAAAGTAATGTATGATGAAAGAGCATTAAACAATCAAAAATTCAGCTCAACTTTGCTGTGAGTTAACATGAGAAACAGAATGTGCAAATAATTACTTTTATCAATTTTTGCTGTCAGCATGCTGTAGTTCACTACTGGCATCCTCTGTAAGATCAGTTTCACATCTGAGTCTAGAAAACCACGGAAAGACCAACATCTTTCACTTTTCAAATGACGTGAGTTACACAAGACTCACGATTATTCAAAGGTCACAGGACAAGATCTCTTCTCTCAACAAAGAGGCTTCTATGCTCTGCTCTGGTGAAGCAGCTGTTGACTCAGATTTCAGTTTATTCAGACACAATATGTGCTCTAGACAGATTCTCAGGCTACATAAATTAGTGTCTCAACTCGTTATCATTTTCCCCCATCATTTTTTCTCTCCTATTGTCTTCTTTATAAAATTAAATCTTTTGTGTTCAACCACAAGTGTCTGCTACAATACAGATAAGATCAGTTCTCCAGTTAGTGCTGTTACAAACCTTTTCCAGAACCACTTGGTTTACATAGGGAGATTTTTTTTCCCTAGCTCAGTAAACTGAATTGACTAAAATATTTTGCTGACTGCTTGCAAAGCATTGGGAGCTGAAGGTTTCAACCTGAAAAATGCAAGGTGGTATCTCCAACCTATGTTTATCTATGAACTTCTGAAACTGCATTACAGCTGTAAGAAGGTGTCAGTTCAGATGAATTTCCTGTGCCAAATAAACCCTTTCCTTGGTAAAGTTACCTTTTGAGATCCGATTCCTCAATAAATCAAAGTGATCAATTTTACACATGAACATCAACAGCCTCAAAACCAGCAGCTGCAATCCCTCCCTGTAGGCATGTCCCACATGCTCCCACCTAACCTAAAGTAGCACTGGCATTATCTCACAATGCCTGACATGCTCTGAACCCTCACAGGGTCTGAGACAGAGTTGACCAAGAAATCCCTCTTGCAATTCAGTGTCCTCAGTGTGTTCCAATGACATCCAGCTTGCAGCTGGTCACTGCAAGGCACAAATCACTGAGCCAGTACTAAACTTCTTCAAAATGAGTATTTTTAACAGATTTAAACCTTTGAGGTTGGTCTTAGCTCTTTGCCCTGGCCTGAGTGTGTAGAGGCGGGGCTGCTAAACTGCTGCATGATGATCTGCTTCTGAGCTCCTGCATTAGTCCGGAGCAGGGAACAAAGCTGGGTGTCAAGGTGGCCATAGACAGGGGAAGGGAAGAGACAGAAGCCAGAGAAGCATCCAAGAAGGTGGATTAGTATTTGAAAGAGCATTTTAGCTCTGAACAAGTAAGAATTTGTGGGAGGAGTGAGAAGAGTGGGAGGGTTTCAGCCCTGGTGTTTGAGCAGCACTTCCAGGCAGGCCTTTTCCTCCAGCACGAGCAGTGAGACCGAAATCAGCTCCTGTGAGAAAACTGCAGCCTTTGCAGCCTGCTGGAGTTTCTTGCTGTATGCTGAAGCCAGAGCTCCTCCTGGAGGTCCACAGAGTCCCAGCCCTGGCGCTGATGGACTCACCACTGCTGCTGGGCAGCAAAGCAGCCACACCAGGCACTCCAACACCCCGTACACACACAGGGTACAGACTGTAGGTAGGTATGGGGTAGTACAACAACCCTACACATGCCTATATACACATCTGCAGTCCCAGCTGAGAATTTGTTCAGCAGCTGCATGGTCTCTTTAGTAAGCTGAGTACAAAAGTAAAGCTAAGATTTCTGGATATATTTATAAATTAAATGTATCTGAGCACTCACTTTACTCCTAAAGTGCAAGTTTAATTTTTTGAGGAAAGGGTGCTAAACTCAGGAGAGAGTTGTAAATCCTCTTTGAACCCACAAAACACTCCTTGCCCCCTAAGACTTACATGGTGAAAGCTGATGTCACAGCAGTGGGAATGGGAGGTAGTGACACCACCTCCATGGGAGCACACCACCAGTTCAGACAGCAAATACCACCTATTTGATTAAATTTAGCTCAAACCACAGATTCTCAACTTGCCTTTCAATCCTAGGAGAGTTGGATGCCTGCCCTTTGAGAAAGCCAGCTGAGGGGTACCTACACTGCCCTGCTGCCCTAAAAAGAGCCTGGGTAGCAGAGGCTGCTGAGACAGCACAGGCTGTAAGGGGCTGGGTAAGTGTTGAGCCCAAACTCCCCAAGATGGCATTTGCCCAAAGTTTATCTTGGTAAAGAGGAATTTGACAGTCAACTGTAGTAAACAGCAACCAGGGAATTATCAGAAGACTTCCACTTGCAGGGGGAAAAGTCAGCTAGCATTCATGCAAGCAAAAGACAAAATCACAAGTGTAGTGTGCAGGAGAGGAGGGAAGCAGGGCAGCAGAGGGGCTCTGTGACCCTGCCAGACACAGTCATCTTACGTAGACAAGGTCGTTCAGAAATTTCTAGGCACATATTAGCATTTCATAACTATATAATCTAGTTTGATCTGCAGATATTGATTCTAAGAGTATAGGTCAGTGGTGACAACGTAACCACACGCTGATAACAAAACAAACAATTTAAACTATGATCAAGGTCACATTAAGCAGCTACGCTTTTCCTACAATATATACCTGACTCAACAGTGCTATGAAGGTGCCACAGTCTCTGCAATGGGGACAGATGTGAGAAAATGTGACAGCTACCTGAAATTATACTACTTGTAATTCTTAAGATCTCCTGCTAAATAATTTTTGAGACTAAATTTTTCTTCTTATGTTTCTAAAAAAATTACATAATTGAAATAAGCTCTACATCATGAAAGACAGCGAGATTTTCTAACTATTCCCCCTGCACACTCATCCAGTTCTTCTACCTCCCCACAGCTGTAGACACAGACAGCAGTGCTCATACCACAGCAGCTCCTCGGCATTTTGACAAAGCCCTTAGGACGCACAAAGAGGAAAAGAGAAACCACCCAAGCAATTGAAACCTTTCCACACCAGATAATGAATGGTGGTCCTAAATCACTGCTCCAGCATTTCATAAATACATGTAAATATTTGTGTGTGTACATAAATGTGAGACATTATACACACACACACAGACTTTAAAGAGATTCTAATAAGATGAATGAAAAAAATGCCTTCTGTATTTGTCTCACTTCATCCTTGTCTATCATATATTTTTATTTTTCATTTTTAAAAGACCTGATCATTCTTCCTTTCAAGTAAGGCCTGGAAAGAGAAAAACACATATTTCTGAAACAATGACGAGATCTTCAGGTCAGAGGGGAGGAGAGGGAGGATATATTAAATTAACTTCTTGCAATGCAATGGTTAAGTATGGAGGAATGCAGCCCAAACACCACAGCTTACACTGGGGTGGGATTGGTTGTTTTCTAAACCAAACCAACTTCAAAAAATTCTTGAATTCTGACTGGCTGTTGAAAGATTAATACATAGAAAAAATGTTTCAAAATATTCTCAAATCCTTTAAAAGAGCACTATATCCTAATGACAGTATAAGGAGGGTACTTAGAATTTTGCCTGATAGGAAAAGAAATTTAACAAAAACATGTAACACAAACATGACACCAAAGTATTTATTTACAGTGTGCGTATATATATACATACATGAATTGGTTTCACTTTTTATTAATATCTTTTCCCCTTTTTAAAGTTATCCAGGTTAAAAATGTCTAAGCCTGTTAGGAGAAAAAAACAACCTCAGAATAAATAAGCAACAAGAAAGGAAGTCAGTTATAGTACACCATCTGCTACCACAGTCCTCCTGTAAAATATGTTCCAGTTAATAGGGTACATTTACAATAACACATTGACACTATTCACTCTCAGCTGCTTACATACTAAACAAATACCATCTTGGCATGAAGAGAGGCATATGTTCACATAAGAAAGAGCCATTTGTCCCACTGTTATCTGAATTTACATAGGAAAGGGCCACTCCCTCTGCTGAATTAAATCCCTTTTCCCTTGAAGAAAACTGTTGTCCAAAAACAAAAAATATGGCAACAAATGCTCCAGTTTGTTTGTTGAGGTCCACGGTGCATTTTCCTTTCTGCACATCACTACAGTGTTTCTGAGTATAATCTCACCAACCTCACATCCTGGCCTGTGAACTGGTACATGAGTTTGTCTTTTAGCATCACCAGCCACTATACACAGGCTTTCAGAGCAACTCACCTGAATATTCAGTCTCATTTCCTCACCTTTCAAAGGTTTTGTTTTTAAAGTGCTTGGTCTGAACATTAATAAGCTGAACACACCTGAAGCTTCTTCAGGATGAACACTTGGCCAAAACATTCCTGGAAGTAAGCAGTCAAATGCTGGTTTGCAAAGGAGAAGATCTCTACAGGATTATTTTGTCTCCAGTGAGGGGTGTTCACTTGGAAAGTTCTTATTCAAAAACAGCAGGCCCACATTTTCCAAAGCAGACTGAAAGTCACTTTAGTTTCAAAATGGAAGCTTAGAGACCCATTACGTTGTAGAGCACTTCAAATATGCCAAGTGCTACCTATGTAAGAGCTGAGCATTGTGGGACTGTGTTGGCATGGCCTCATATTTAGAAATACCAGAAGTGTCCACAAGCACACTGCCAGCCTTGCACAGTCATACACCCAATGTGTGCTAATATGTTCTGTACACAATTCAGAGACCTGCATAAACTGCACACCTTGAACACAGGATTCAAGCCAGAAGGGTTAGGATATGGATTTGAAATAACTTAGAATATTTGCTATTTTACTAAATATTCCTGCTTTCAGCTAGCATCTCATGCTGAATTTCAGCAAGCATTAAAACCAAGTAGCATTTTTTTAGTATTTGGTTTCCTACTCCTTGAGAGTTCAAAATGTATTTTTAAATTTAAGGCAATTCTCTTTTTTCCTATTTTGTATTTAAACAAATATTAAATAATTCCAGACTTTCTCTACTCTCAACAAAAAGGGACAATTTTCTTGGTACCTCCAAATTTTAGGACAGAATTACCACACCCAGTTTTTTCCAGTAAGAAAATTATCCAAAGTGGCAAGGCTTGATTCAGCTCTCATACAGATACAATCCAAAAGCAAGTCCTCCACAGAGAATGAAAGTCCCGAAAAAGTCAATCTCTCCACAGGATTTATACAATTTGGGTTTCATCCATGGGGCTCAACTTGAAAGGCTCTGAGCAGACCATGTCTAGAAACACATATTTGCTTATACTTAATCTAAAATCTGCTAAGCTCAAGGTTATTGAAGCCTGTTGAAGCTGAACACCCAGCAAATCACAGGATAAAGCCTGCAGGAGTAGGGGTCAGTCTTCTGTTGCTGAAGATCTACAGAAACCAAATCCACCACTATTCCCCAAGTGGTTCACTCATCACTAAATTTAAATTCATTTGAAAACAAGAAACCTAGATCAAGGATTCTGCTTCTTACACCCCTAGGAACTCCACACTGTTCTACTATTTCCTTGTAATTGACAGTAGGGTACTAACATAGAGCTTAAGACTTATTTAACACTTTGTTAATACAAAGCAGCCTATTTAATTTTTGGGTTGTGTTTGAACAGCAATCTCTCCATATATGTAGCAGTTTAGCACTCAAGAATGGCATTTTTTCCTTAGGCTAAAACACTGTCAGTTGGACAGTAACACACCAACTTGACAAGGAACCCAGAATCAGCTTTTAAGCAGGGTTTAAAAAGGCCCTGCAAATGCAACACACTGGTATTATTTCCATTCACAAACTGATTAAGAGAAAATAACCAGATGCTCAGAAATTAAAACTATTTTGAAATTGTATGACTAAAAGTGTGTTTCTAATTCCTTCGATGAGGATGAACATTATGATACAAAGTAAAGACTCATCCTAGAAAGACAAGTAGAGGAAAAGAACACAGGAAGGTCAAATCTCTTCTGGAGTTTTGACAGGCTTAATGAAAATCAGTAGTGTTTGGCAGGAATCTGCAAGAACCTAGACATTTTGCTTTCCTTGATCACTGTAATTTTATAACCTAGTCAGAAATAGTCCAAAATACAATTCAACTTGACCTATAGAAGTGCATGGGACATTTTGGCCAGTAAAAACAAGTAACACATTCCACTTCAATAAGCCTATAGAAGAGCTTCCTCTTAATATGCAGGACAGCATAAGTTGCTCCAGGCTGACTGTTTGAATCTTCATGTCCAAATGAATAGTTATTAGTTCTTGGGCTCAAAGAACTTGCAAGTGAGGACACGTATTAAGCTGTTTTGCTAATATTCAAATATTCTGAACCAAATAACTCTCTAGTTATAGGGCCCTGATGACTTACTTAGCTTTCTCATTTCAAAAATTAATCCAGCTTTGAGCATAAGTGAGGCACATGGGTTTTACAAACCAACAGATATGGTAAGATAGTATCTGTTAAAAACTGATACTAATAATAAAACAAATCTCTTGATGAGGCTTTAAGAAAATTATGCCTGAAGGCTTAGGCAACTATTTAGTTCTTTTGTTTGCTGGTTTTTAAGCTAGTTTTGTAATATGGCAGTAACACTAGTCTCAGCAAGATTTGCCATAAAAAACCCCAGCCTGTATGAAATGCAACCACAGTAAATCAGTGTGGTTATAAAATAGCAGTACAGCTCTTTACATTCTGCACTATAATGTTTGGTGTTATAAAAAGACCATGCTCTTATGAAGCCCAGGCAGCCAGTTTCTTCATTTCATCTTCATCCTCTGCTCTTTTCCTGGTTGATGCTGCAGATAAAGAGACAATAACCATCAATTAATGTAACAGTCAGAACCATTCTATCTGTTAGCATGAGGTCTTGCATAGTGCTTTTCTGTTTGAAGATCTCAGACCAATTTACTGAGTAGCAAGCTGAACATGAGTAATGCAGGAATGACACTCATAAGAAATGTGACTATTTTGCCCCATCATTATTTTGTATGGAACCCTAAAGTTCACAATATAGGTCTGAAGTCATTCCTACTGAAATACTCACACAGAAAAAATATTTAATTTCTAAAGGTTGTCACAACCAGAAAAGGCCCACAAGAATGCTGTCAGTTCTCTCACCACCAGGTAAACAAGAAAAATGACCTATGCTGGCCAGCTGCACATCCTGCTACCTTTCCAAATAGTGCTGAGAGGTTCTGCACATGCAAGTCTCTGGATGAACTCACCCCATTTTAATGGGCGGGGTCATTTATTAAATGGAGAAAGACATTCCTGAACTTGCTTTGCTCAAGTGACATCAGTTAACTGCTGTAGTCACTGCAACAACTCCCAGCTCTGTATCAGGTCCTACACACACTTTGTACCCAAATCTCCTATCCCACATCATCTGCATTCACTAAACTAAAACCTCACCCGAACTGGCTTCATTTGCTGACCTGCAAACTAGATGCCCAAGAGCCAAGGTTCAGCCTCAGGCTGCCTCCTCCATCTGTGGGCTGTGCACATCTCTCCAGCCACCAGTGGAACACTGTTAGTGGGTCCAACACTGCGTGTGCCCCTTTACAGCAGCCAGCTGGCTCCCACCTGAGGCAGCTGCAGGGCCAGGAGCCACCGTCTAGAGGGGAACTGCAACCACCACTTCAGGGACTAGGGGTGGGAGAAGCACTTGGGGGACCACAGCTTCTGTCCCTCTTCTGCAAGTGTCACAGGTTCACTGTGTGACTGGGGAAGGTCACTATGCCTCGCTTCATTGCAGTTTCCTCATCTTCCAGATCAGGAGGGCAACATGCATCTCCAATTAGAAGCATTATAAATCCATCAACTGGTCTAAGTTTGCTATTGCTGTGTAACAGTCAGCAGAAAACATAAGCCAGTTTTTCACAGCCTTGAACTATATAATTGTAACCAGCTCATCTTGCCTAAAGCAGCCATACAGATGGATGTAGAAAATGAAAATAGTGAGAAGCACATGGAGATGGTCTGGGCTTAATAAAAATGTCAACTGGCACAGCTGGATCTGAAAGACAATGTATGAACAAATCATAAATGGCCAGACTGAATTTTCACTGTTTTTCTAAATCCATTTTTTTTACAAGCTATTCAGCAACTGGGTTCAGTAGATGAGGCCACAGTCTCAGCTTGAACATTTTAAACTGCTTCTCAGGATTTAAGTGTAATCTGCCAGAACACATATCATAGTATCTGAGTTGAGCTGGTCTAGGTAACCTGTTCTGTAGCAGAAACCATAAACCACCTGTGTCACTTATGTGCTGTCCTTACCATCAAGTATTTATATTCTTTTATTAATGTCAATACACAGCAAGTCTTTCAACTGACAGTGAAAAGTGTAGTAAAAGTTGACTGCCTCTGGCTGAATTCAAAATGAACAGGGCAGAAGTACAGAAAAATAAAACTGTAATTTAATACCAGGAATAAGCCTGTTCAGTACAAAGAAAGCAAAGGAATGAACACGTCTTTAAATATGTACTTCCCAATGCCTCCTTCACTTCTAATTAAAATACCAGTGGAAAATATCAAACCACCACCCTGCAAAGCTGTATCTTTACGACATAAACATTTGGAAACTAGGTCAGACTCTAATTGAAAGAAACTAAGGATTTAATTGCCAAAAAGAAGGAAAAAAAAGGCAAAAAAGACCATTCCTCAATGATCTTACTACATCTCAGTAGGAGATTCATCAGTATATGTGCAAGGTCAAGTACCCCAAGTTTATCACCCCACATCTACAGAGAATTTCATCCTAAGTGCTTTCACAGAGCAAAAATGGAATCCCACTCTGCTTTTTCTGTTAAGCAGATACAAAAATAGGGAAAGGAATTTATAACATTTTAAAAGTTATAACAGAGTTAAATGCATATCTGAAACCCTCTCTTCCAGCATGGTTTAATCATGAGAAATGTAAAATAGCAAGCAGGCATTTTACCAGGGCGAGAAGGCAGAGATGTGGACGGAACACTTGGCAACCTGACATCTCTCATTCCCTTGTTCAGTTCTTCTTGCTCCAGTTCTTCTAATTCTGCCATCAACTCATCCTAAATTCAAGGAAAACATTATTTACAAATTCTGACAGTGATTACACTCAAGGGCACATTAAACCACCATGAAGCAAAGTACTACTGAAAAAACAGTTTATACCTGAAAGGTCATATCAAGAAACAGCATATTAAATGTGCAATTTTTGCGAAGTATGAGCAATTAAGTAAACCTTAACAGAACACTGAAAATAGGACAATAAAAGTTAGAAACAGGACAAGGAATAAACTTAAAACTAACAGCAGTACAATACATGCCAAAAAGGCAAATATGGCAGTAAAAGGCGTCTCCACTCTCTGCTGTCCTCAGGTTTATTCCAAATCTAGAGCCTGTACTCTTCAATGGATTCTAACTTTAACATGCCATTTCTCCCATTTTAAAAGGCAACCACCTTCCACTGGTTATAAGGCAGACTGTCATTAAACATTATGCTTCAGCCCTATCACATACATGCAGGATTATATGTGATTTCAAAGCAGCACTGGAATCAAAACTGCCCTCCTGGGTCCTGTATTCACTCTTGAAGCACGCAGCACTCGTGGGCTTTTAGGTGCAGAGGCTGATTTGGACAGATGATCTAATCCACTTGTACAATGCTAAAAATAAAAAGGCTCTATGCTTTTCAAAAAAGCAAGGAACTTACTCCTCAGCTGAAATTTCCCAAAGAAAGGAAGCTAAATGTTACATATACGTGGAGAAATGGACCTTTGCCACACTGATAAAATGGTTTAAAAGAAACAATGGACAAAAACAACTGGAGAGAGCTGGGGTAAGTGTCAAAAAAGTAGTAAAGTAAGAGCTATTAGTTATTGAAATGGGCTCTGCCTACACATTTATACTTTGTTTATCACTAATGTAGAAGCTAAAATGATAGTTGCATAGCCACCACAGGACTTTATACCTGCATTTACTTTCTCATGGTTTTATAATTTAAGGCAAACAAAAACTATGCCAACACAGGGAGAAGGAACTCTTATGCTACTGTGCCTGGAGCAGGAGAAATCACATGCTTCCATGGTCTCCTTACAGCCACGGCACATGTGTGAAGAGAAAATCCATACAAGTGCACGGAAAAAAAACATCCTTAAAAAAAAAATTAAATTAAATATTATCCTTCAACACTAACCACCTTATATCCCAGCAATTAAGTCATTGATTCTAGCACTGTTAAGGTGCAGTAGCCTCCAAACCAGGTTTCCCAGTTACTCTAAGTATTAGGCTCCTATGCAAAGGCTGGTACAACAATGCTCCAAATGACAGAGGCTTATTTCCCAAACAGGAACAACGCACACCAGCTTCAACTGGTATCCCTTAGGAACTTCCACGTCAATCTACAACATGCTTACTAAGCCTAGACTCCAAAAAGTTAAGCTCTGTTGAAAAGTAAGACACTGTACAGCTGTTTGGGGTGGTAGGATATTTTTCAATTGTTTGAAGCTCAGGCCAAATCACATTCCTTGTGCCAGTAATGACTAAATGTTTCTTGGAAAGTCTATTTACATTCCAAGGGGAAATACAGGAAAACAGGTAATGGAAACAAAATACAAAGATTCATTATTATTTTCAACAAATTATAACTGTTGAATGAAACTTCCTCTTCCTCCCAATCAAGCAAAATGTGCGATATAGCATTTCTATTTTAGTTTGTTGTCCATTTGGGAACATAGGAACAAATTAGTTGGGAATACAGTGAGTGATTTGAGTATTCAGGACATTCTTCAAATGATTCTTAGTGCTTGACCATTTTGAAACAGAATTGAAAAACAAAACAAAACTGGTGATATTGAGCTTGACACTCATCTGTGCATTGCACAGATTACAAGAATCTGGAGTAACCTTCACCCTTGAGTCCTCAACCACGGTTGGATCAGAAATAAGTTATATCCTTTTTAGATGTACAAAATCATATCTGGGGGCACTGGATGAAAGCTACTGCAACAAATTTTGAGAAGGTTCTAAATGCTTTGTGGGGGTTTCAGAAGAAAAGAGCTTTAGAATGAAACCTTATTGCCTCCAACAGGTATTAGTTCTACCTGTCAGAGCTACTTCTGTGGTCTGCGCAACAGGGAAAGGACCTGCATCTCCAAGCACTAAAAATGACCTTAAAAAAGTGGTCCAAATATTCAGAATTATGAACAGCAGACTGTCCATGACATAGGGACATGCACTTAAGTCAAATGGATGTCTATTTGGAGCAACAAAAAATTATATGTTTCAGTGTCCACTTGGAGTAGTACAAATTACATGTTTTAGTGACCTTCTTCCAAGGTCACTATGAGAACAATAACTACAGAAGTGCAGTTAAAAATGCTTTTCTTAAAATTGATACAAAAATAATTTTTTCCTGTTTTTACATCTACAGATTTTTATTTAGTACATTATATATTTTATATATAATGATTTACTTTTTACATTTATAATAAAATTCTACAATTGTCCTAGACAGGGTAAGTTAGAACCAAGGAATTTCACATCCACACTTCTTGAGAAACAAACAACTGCACGGCAGAGTAACTATAGAATTAAAACTCACAAGCCTGAAGTACTAACCTCATCAAACTCATCACCAAAGGTAGCTCGGTTTGAGATAGCATCGGAAATTTCCTGGGCAACATCTTGCTGTTCAGTGATATCTTGCATTAAATCATCGATTTTGTTCAAATCCCTGGCAAGGTAACATGGAAACAATTTTTTAAAAGATGTATCATTCAAATCCTACAGAACACACTCACTTGAACAGACCCTGTTTTCTTTTTATGCCCATGACTCTACAAACATCAGAATTCACAGGGAATAATTTTCCTCACGCACACCCAGACCAGCTACTTCCATGCTGGGATTATAACAAAAGTCAAACTGCAGCAGAGTTTGTCTCTCCCTCTCTGTGCTCCTCATACCTCTGCCAGCCAGTCACAGCCCATTGGCAGATCCCTCCAGATCAGCATCTTTACAGGCTTTTTGGTACTTAAAGGAGCTTTAGAGGAAAGATGGAGATAAACATTTACACAGCTTGTTGTGAAGGGCAGAGGGTAATTTAGAGAGCTTTAATCCAAAAGAGGGTCAATTTAGATTTGATTCAAGGAAGAAGGTTTTTACAATGAGGGTGGTGAAGCACCAGAACGGGTTGCCCAGAAATGGTGGATACCCCATCACTAGAAACATCCAAGGTCAGGTTGGATGGACTCTGAGCAACCTGATCTAGTTGAAGATGCTCCTCTTCAATGCAGGGTGTTTGGACAGGATTATCTTTAAATATCCCTCTGAACACAAACTATTCTGTGATTTTATGGATCTTTTTTGATGTTTAACTGTCACCAGAACTGGGGAGAACTTAACAGAATTGTACCCCATTTAAAGGTTTCCCCTTATTGTTAACTTTGTTATTGTTTCAGTTCCTGTTTATTTCTCCCCAAACAACCCTTCTGACTTAACTCTGTTTATTCAGGCAGAAAAACACCCCTTGAAACAATATAGGACATATGAAAAAAAAGTAATTTTTTTTGGGGGGTGGGGATGGGGTGGGGAAAGGGGATGCATTTAATCAATACTTTGAATCCCACAGCCCAGCTTATGGATTCTGAGGAAAAGAGTCCACCTAGTTTCTATGACTAGATTTTCCTTCTAGACAAACCAAGGGCAGAGGCCACTCTCCACTGCCAAGACAGACTAAAAAAAACAGATCTCACCAGTTAAGTGAACTTCCTTCTAGATTTATTGTTAGGAAATTATATTTCTCTGCCAAATATAACACTATAGCACTAACAGCATTCCTGACATTTAATGCCTGAACCAATAATGAAGTTAAAACTAACTTGGTACAACAGTCTGTAGTAATGGAATAATTTCAAAGTGGTTAGTAAGTTCAACTTGGAAGCTACTAGAAAACACTTACATATTTTCATGTACTTTTTTCATAGCTTGTGCAGCGTAACCCATATTCTTGAGCACTTCTGTGTTGGTGTGGGAATTTTCCAATGCCTCTCTCTGGAACTCAATGGTCGAAAGTGTCCCATCAATTTGATTCAACTGTTTCTCATACCTCTTTTTTCTCTTCAGTGCTTGTAAGGCAGCTGGAATGGGAAGAGGCAAAGCACGTTGTGTGTTTTCATAGCAAATGCAAGGACAAGTAGTTCAGCATCAAGCTGACCTGCAGAATTTATAATTCTCACCCTCCTACCTTACTATGAGGGAGACAAACTTTGACCACACCAGATCAGCAGCCTGTTAATCACCAACAGGCTGTTGCATGAACATGCTGGGAAGCCTCTTTTAGATTAACTCCTTTTAGCACCACAAGGAAAAGCAGCATCTTCCTCACTGTGGGAGATCTTGAACTCCGTCCTGTGCACACAAGCAAAGCAGGGAAGATGGGAAGGAAAAAGAAAAACATCAGAGAGAAGTCAGAAGGGAGGAAGCAGAAGAGAGAATAAAAGAATAAGCTGTAAAATGTAAGTAAAACCTAAGGAAGACAGTATAAGAATTTCTGCCATGACAACCACAACTCCACCAATGGCGCTTTCTGAACTTCATCTCAGCAGCAATAACTGTGAAGTGCAACAGAGGGCCAAAATGGCCCAGCTAGGCAGAAGGGTCAGATCAGAGAAGGATTTCTCCAGCTTTTAGCTCATCTATTTCTTAACAACCACTTAGGAATGTAATCTTTAAACCTCAGAATTTAAAAACACAGAGAACTTAGTAGACATGGGCACAGTCAAATCCAGCTACCCCATGATCTTTGTAAATTGTCGAGATTAGTCTTTTATATTCACTAAGTTATGAGCAGCGTACTCTGCCCAGAGTAAATCATTACCAGAATGAAAGCACGTGACAAGCATGAGGAGAAAAGAACTTTCTCTTGGCCTCAGGGTGTGGAGCACACACAATTTTGCCACAAGCATTTCCTGATGACAGTCCTTTCCAAACTACACATGTGCCAGGCTAAAAAAATCCCACCAAATTAAACGAGACTGAGTTAACCCATGTTTGGCTTCTTTCAATGTTATTAGCACCCCCATTCCTTCTCTTGTCTCCTGCATTTAATTTTTTAAACAGATTCAGAGCCTGCCAGCCCCAGCAGCCCTGCAACATCCCAAACTCAACCATCAGCAGCAGCTACTGTTCCAATCCTGTTAAAATTGCCCATGTGCAATAACACTGAACATTGACACTGGGGTACACAACGTTTCAAATGAAATTAAGATTCCCCAAAGGAGGGCACAAAGATTTATGGTGTGTAACAGCACGCTAAAAATATTAATGCTTTGTTGACAAATGCTTGAATGAACATGATCAAAATTGCTCATCATGAGCTGCACATGAACAGGCATTCTCACAGGCTAAAATGCCTTCCACCACCTGCAGTGAGATGTTTCAGGACAGCAAATCACAATCCCAATAGATTAATCAAGGCATTCAAATCCAATATTTTCACAGGTTTTGGGGGATGGTTTTGGGGGATGGTTCAAACATCATGCGTATTCTGAAGAAGTTGCACAAACACATAATGATGCATGCACGATGATGTCATGCTCACAGCAAATGTAAGAAGTGTAAAATTCTCACTGGCAATTCTAAAATACTTAATTTTGATTCTATCCCAAACAATCTTTACCTATTTATTTCCTTACTTATTTATGCTTAGTATTGGTAGAGTTAAGACACCAGCCACTTCCTTTGTTAGCTTCCACTGGATCAAATTTGATCCTGGATTCTTAGGTTAGGAAGCTAGAGGTTCCAGACAAATGTAACAGTCTGAAACTGTGCATGACACCAGCAGGGCCAGAGAGGACTCTGAGGCCCTGTGGACTGAGGAGCACTCAGCTGGAGCAAGCATCTACCATGGGGAATCTTTCTACTCAGTGTTCTTCAGAAATGGGACTCTGCAATGGTCCTGTTATTATTGGCTGCTCACAGAGAAAATGGATTTCCTCATTTAATTAAGCTACACCCAAATGAAGAAAACACAGGAGAAGCTAAACTCTCTGCAACTTCAGCTATTCATAAACAGCTCTTCCTAATTATTGTGGTGCAAGACATTATCTTCCTTCTCTTTAGTTTTACCAGTGACTTACAGAATAAAGCAGTCCATAGGAAATAAATTCATACTCCTTCCTTATCAACCAAAGCATTATAAATTCTCACACCACACTATATGATTTTCCTGATTTGTGTTAAATGAATGCCCTTTATTGCAGAGTATTTTGCTACAGCAGCTCCTATCACTAATTTATGAGAATTTCCTTGTTGTTTGAAATCTATTTGCCTGTGTTTTATGAAGCACCTAGAATTTTAGTGTTTTCTACTGCACATTACAAGCATTTTTAAATTTGTGTGCAAGTCTTACAGGACTGAAATGCTTCTGCTTTAGAATGCTACCGCATTCTAATTACCAAACTGGAGAAGAACATATCTATTAAAATATAATGAAATTGAGCAAAGAACAGAAACTCACTTCACTGAAGGTCTAAGAATGGCACTGAAAAATTGTGTTCCCCATTCCAAAGATCTCAAAGAAGGAAGACAGCCTGGAGAGGATGAGTTTGAGCAGAGGCAGAGTCTGAGGAAGCAAGTGTAATTAACACCAATTAATTCAGGAAGAGGTGGAAGGCTTCTCCAGGAAAAAAAAAAAAAAAAAACCACAAAAGCAGTCTCATACACTTTTTATTTTGTGCTCCAAAAAAGCCAATTCAACTCCTGAATTTTTAATGTCAGTACTTGGCTGGGCTTTAGCACATTTCCTGTACTCCTGAATCCAGTAAGCAGGATACAGCTCACAGATTAGGAACCACTCTTTTTAATATAAGTTTTTATTTTATAGTCAAGGTGTCTGGAACAAAAGAAGACTGTGATATCAGTTTAAGTTTGCATATTAATGAACTCCTTTTAGTAACACTCAGAAGGGCGCTTTTCCAGTATCGCTACAATGCTGACACTTTATTAAGGAAGCAGAAATGGCCAGTCTGCAGTAAGAATCCTGGCCACACTGAATATCTAGATTTCAAAAGGAAAAACAGAAGTAATGGCATAGGAAGAGTTGTGCACCCTTCTCATAGTTTCATGACAGATCAGACTGAAAAGCAACAGTGCAGTAATACCACCTTTACCTGTGAAGCACACCACCAACACCCATCAGTACAGAAAGCACCAACAATCTCATCATCTTCTGAAGCAGAAATAAAACAATTGTTTAAAAATCCTTATCATTCCCATGAGGAAACTACTGAAGTAGGAAAAGAATGTTTATTCTGAAGATGTAACACCACTGTGAAAATATCACATCTCACTCTTGGGTACAGTGCACAAACCTCCACCTCAGGACTGCAAGGGATTCATGGACCACAGATTCTGATCTCCCTCACTCCAGGGACAACTGAAGGCAATGCTGCTGAGGCCACAAAAATCATAGGACCCTAATTAGGCTCATTATCAGCACTCATAGTCCTTAAAGCCTTGTGGAGGAAGCCACATGCAGTTACAACTGAGGAGCTAAATCAAGAATAATAATGAGCTGGACCAGTTATAAGTTTTCCAGTTCATGCCAAGACACTTGAAATGTGATCATGAAAGTCAGAGAACAGCCACTGTAACTCACAGAGCAAAGACACACCAAGGGCTTTCCTTTATGTCCCTGCCAGAAACCCTCACTCCCAACCTGTCCCACAGCTTGCTGTAGGCGTGACTGTCCTGTCCACCACAACACACACCTACCACATCATTGTTTGGCTTCCACAGCCTCCTGGTTACACCCAACTCATTGAAAAGGAATGCTACACGGCTACATAAGCCCTGCCCAATCGTAACACACAACATATTTAGCAGCATCTACTTGTGAAACCCTGTTATTCCCACTTTCTTCATACGTTTTATCTTCAGCAGTACTATGGGATTCTTTATGGTTAAGATTTAATCCTGTTCTGGATGGCTTAACTTTATTCTTTTTACTAAGTTTTTTTATATTTTTAGGATCTGTGAAGGACATCGGGCTGAAACAACAGACATTCATGTGTATGTTATTTTCACAATTACAGGCATGCTTCAGAAAACACATTTCCTTTTAAACAAAGTTCTCAAATATTCAGTATCACTTCCTGTTGTTTAAATTTTCTTCTATGTGCTTTAAAACAATGGATAAGAAAAGCCAGTATGTAGATGGAGTTGGCAGCTATGCACTGGCTGAAACTGAGAAACCCCCAAAAAGTACAGCAAGAGATTTTAAAAGAGTCTGTGCCTGGAATGGAGAGACATTAGAATTCAGTGCTAACTGTGAAAAAATATTGTTTCTCATGGCATAATAATATTGCTTCTCATGACATTTCTCCTTTTCAGGAGGAATTTCAACAAACAAAAAACCCTGAAGTGGTTTAGCTACAACCAGATGTTAATGGGGAATGCTGGAAATGCATCACATCAGAAGGATAGCTAATTTCAGATTAGGTACAGGAACTGCAGAGATACTTCATAAAGGAAAAGCCAGGAGTATTTCAGTGATGTTTCACATCTATGGCATAGCTAATGCATTACAGCTTTTAAATCAAGTTAAGCCTACTGATGTCACATGAAACCCATTCAAGAGTCATATGAAGTCATGAGAAATTGCTGGTGCTTGAATCTGCTCTCTCTTGTGCTGGTGCAACTGACTCAGACTCATGCACCTAAAAGTGAGATCATGCTAATTTGGTGCATTTTCTATCCCTAGATACATCTTGCTTCAGTTGCAGACAGCCCTATTTTAGTTTACATAGGCTTCTACACAGATGCAATAAAGAAAAAAAAAAAACTTACCTTAAAAATAACCAGTGATGTCCCTCCAAAACACTTACTTCAACAAGGCAGTGTAGATGAAAACCTTTATTCTCTCATTTGTATGTTTACATAATGTTACAATAGATGGTGGTTAGCACAGATTTTCTCTGAGCTCTACAGTACTACACACTAGCTAATATATCAATGTAAATCAACAGTAATTAAACTGTAAAGCAATTGACATATCAAATGAAGACATATTATTGGGGATTTAAGTTCACTGACTATCCTGCTAAATTTAAGCACTTTGGCACAGCAAGGTTATATTTTAAACAATATATGGTTGATATTGTTTCTCCTCTGACTGTACTTAGGTTATGCCATTTTGGTTTTAGAACCATTTTTGGCATGAATAAAAACTGTCCCACTGCACTTTTAGCCCTACTCTTGCCTTGTTATCGTTCTTAACTGTAGGTCCCTGAGCAAATGACAAAATAAAAGGCAGCTATTTTTAACAGTGATCAGCTCAACACTACAGTTTGCAATACAACTCCATGAACAATTTAATAGATTAAAAACTAGGGCAATTGCATATTGAGCGCTGCAGTAGAAACAATGATGTTCAGATATCAAATGCTGCATGCCTGAAGCAAAAGGCCAACACACCTGACACCACCATCAACCAGCTAAGTTAAAGAAGAAGCAGATCTGCCTTTTCCCAGCAAATTCTCAAAGTCTGTGCCCCACTCTCTCCTTCACAGGAGCACAAGCACTCATGTAGCTACCAGGTCAACTGGTAAGTGGAACTTAAACCATCCTGGGTAAAAAGAATAACCCAGACAAAGAAAACCACAATATTTTACAACATTCAGCTTTCTGAAACACACCCTTCAGGGAGCTCTGCTAAGGGAAAGGAAGGGAGCAGTACAAAGGCAGGAGCGAGGCAGGAAATGCTTCTTCTTTCTGCAAATGTGCCAGCTTATATTTCAGGTTTGGGATGAAGTTCCAGAGCAGCATGTCTGGATTTAACCAGGAATTGCTAGTCATAGGAACCAACATGTTTGCTTGTATCAGCTCTGCAGCTCAGGCTTTTGCACAATGAATTCAGCCCCAGGAGCCACCTGGTCACTTTGTCCCATAGTAAATTAGCTTCCAGCTGGATCACCTTCCTGAACTAGCTCACTGTGACAGTACAGAGGTGCCAGTACCTGGACAAGGGACCACGAGACACTTCAGCTGAAGCCAGAGGACTAGAAAGTGTGAGACTGGGGCAATTGTGACAATTGTGAGCGCCCATTCTCTTGAGCAGCTGTCTCAGTTGAGCTCTCAACTGACTTTACTCCCTCAACTGTGCCTTCAAATCTGTCCCATCTTGGCCCACAATTTTAAATCCATTTTAAATAAAAGTTAGTTTAGCTAAATTGGCTTTTTCTAATAATTATTAAATGCTAAATTATTACAAATACATTTGAGGGCTAACCAGGACACCTCTAACACACAGCTCTGCACAAGTTCAAAGTTACAGGGCATTATTTTTTAAATTACTGAGTAACAGAACAAGCAGGCAAAAGACCTACTTTCTTGTTACATCACAAATCTTTAATTCGAAATAATCTTCTTCTATTACTAAGCATTTAAATTAAAATACAGCTCAGGCAAATAGGTCTCCATGCGACTTCAGGAAGTAATTAACTTGTTTCTCTGAGGCCTGTATATCCCCAAGACGCTGACTACCATCATTTGCTTCCCAGGGGTGGCAACATCAATATACACAGGAGCCAGGCTTTCTGACCCCTTAGCATCCTCTCCTTTGTAGCTAACAGCGTCCCAGAGCAGTAGTTACTAATGCTCTAAGCTATCATTCTTTTTTTGGTTGCACATATACTTCTTACATTATTTGGACAAATCGTTGCATCACTTTGTTGCTCAGCTGTCAGCAATGGGGATAACGTGCATTAATTCGTGAATATACAGGAGATCTGCACATTCTTCATCTCGTTCGCCCCCTGCCCAGCCAACGCTGAGCCCCCAAACAGCGATTCCTTCCCCTGTTGAGCAGCAGTACTTTGCCCTCCGTGTATCCAACCAGTGCCTGCATCGACTGCGGTGCAAAGCACGAACAGCAGAATCGCATAGGAAAGCACAGACAGTACTTTTGTGAGGAATAACAAATTCCCATCCCGCCATATGAATCCACAATTAGTGAAATTAGTGAATCCACGATTAGTGAAAACACTAATCGATGCCAAAACCACCATCTCGCCTGGCGTGTGGTGATAGTTGCTCGGAGCGCACAGCTGAAGCACACCGCACACCTGCGGGGCCAGGTGACCCAGCCACAGCCCCGGCGAGACCCGAGTGTCCCTCGTACCCAGGGCGCTCCAGCCCCGGGACTGAACCGCGCGGAGCCCGGCCCGCACTCACCTCGCTTGTTCTTGGTGCCGTGCTGCCGGGCTACCGCCAGCTCCCGCTCGATCCGCGTCTCCAGGTACTCCTGCTTCTTGCTGAGCATCTCCTCCGTCTCTCGCAGCCGGGCCAGCGCCTCCTGCGGCGAGGGACCCCCGCGGCCCTTGGAGCCGGCCGAGCCGCCCCCCTTAAAGAACTTGGAGATCTTGCTCATGGCGGCGATCCCAGCTCGGCGCCCGCCGACGGAAAGGTCTGGCCTGCCCGGTCCTCAGGAGCCTCCCTGCCCGGCACACGCCGTGACAGCAAGTCCTCAGCCCACGGGCGGCGGCGGCGGCACCGCACCTGGCGGCGGGGCGGGCCCGGGGGCGGCTCCGCGGAGGCCGAGCTGCCGCCGCCCTCAGCCAGCGCCGGGCAGAGCGGCGGGGGGAGCCGGCGAGCTCCGCGGGGCAGCCGCAGGGTCCTGGGGCTGGCCGGCGCTGCGGAGGCGGCTGCGAGTTTGTGCTTTCCCCCTAACTTTTTTCCCGTGTCACAGAATCGCAGAATGCACAGTGGGTCACCTGGGCTAGCCTCCCTGCTGTCGCGGGGTCATCCTAGAGCACATGGCACAAGATTGCATCTAAGCGGTTCAGGATCTCCAAGGAGGGACATTGCACAACCTCTCTGGGCAACCTGTTCGATTGCGTGGTATCCACACAATAAAAAAGTTCTTCCTCGTGTTCAGGTGGAAAATCCTATGCCACCAGTTTCTGCCTGTTGCCTCGTCTTATTGCTTGGCACCTCAGAGAAGAACCTCACCCCAGCCTCTTGGCACCCTCCCGTAAGATGCTTATAGACATTGGTGATGTCCCCTCTCAGTCTCTTCTTCTCAAGGCTGAAGAGGCTCAACTCTCTGTCTTTTCTTCGAAGGGAGATAATCAAGTCCCTCGAAAAATTTTGTAGCTCTCTGCTGGATCCTCTCCAGGAGATCCATGTCTCTCTCGTGCTGAGGAACCCAGAACCCAGAGACATGCCGCGGGAACGTGTTCTGGGAGGGCATCACCCTCGGGCACAGGCGTGCACGCGGGTCAGGGCTGGGAACATAACACTGAATTCTGAAGGAATGTGGTTTTTTTTACAGAAGTGGTGGGTGCGCCGCTAAGGAAACCTCAGTGGCACCAACAGGTCGCAGGGGGCAGGAAGTCTTTTGGGAAGCCGGGCAACCTCCGCTCTGCCTCCGGGAACAAGGCTCTGCCCCAAAGGACGACGCACACAGCGACACAAATAAGGCACAAATCATGCCTTTTTCTTTTCCCCTGGAACAGCCCGAGGAGCACCAGCCGCGGCTCTGGACCCACTGAAGGCGGATGCTTGGGCCGACATGGGCCGCTTAGGTTGCCCTGAGCCCGCTGATGTCGCCGATCCTGCCGGCATCCCCGCAGCTCCGAGCCCGAGGGGCGGGCTCAGGCTCAACCCGGCGCGGGCCGCCCCCGGCCCCGCCTCTGCCCCGCCCGCCCCGGGGCGGGTCCCGCCGGCCCCTCCGCAGCGCTACCCTGCCCGCCCCGCCGCCTCTCCGCCTCCTGCGTGCCGCCGACATGGCGGAGCTGGAGGTGGGGCAGCACTGCGGCGTGCCCGAGTGCCGCCAGCTCGGTAAGGGAGAGTGCGGCGGGTCCCGGCGGAGACGGGGACGCTGGGCCGGGGACGGTGCGGGGTTGCGAGGGGTGTCCCCCCGATCGGGGAGTCCTCTGTGCTGCTGCAGCCCTGCACGGTCTAGTGCCAGCTCCTGTCACCTCGGTTGTCTCACTGGGTGGTTAAGAGCCCGCTTGCCCCTTCCTCACACTCGCTTGCCTTCAGTGATCTCGGAGTGTGTGACTGGAAATGTCGCCTCTCAGAAAGAAGCAGCAGAACCGCCTGTAGCGAGAGCTTTCTGAGGGACCACTCAGATGAAGGGATCGAGACGATCGTGAGCTGAGCTGCGTGGTCCAGTTGCGTGGTGGTCTGTCAGCATAAAGTCCGAAGGAGGGAGAAGCAGAGTAGTGGACTGCACCTGGCATTTGCTGCCATTAATGATGTGGTGGAGTTTAGCAGACAGTGATGTGATTTTATGTGTAAGAATTTATGTGGTAGGCAGGGGATGTGTACGGAAGCTTAGGAAGCGTGTGCAATTTTAATCACCCAAGGACAGTATGTACGATATGATGTAAAGAAGGGGCAGGATCATTATGACTGTCCAGTGGAGGAGATCTCTCCCTTCCAAAGAGCCAGCATCTCCTCCAGTTGGCAGCCCATTAAAAAAAATGTAAATTGTCCACTGTCAGTAAACAGTGTTCTGAGTGGTCTTGCAATAAATTCAGTTTTTAACATAATTAGTAATTTTGATGGCTAGCCATACGTTCCAGTGTCATAGATTGATATTGAAAAAAAAAATTAATTTAAAGCCTAATTCTAACTTCTGGAATGCATATAAGTGTAATTTACCTGCTCATATGTTTTTCTGTAATATTAATTAGGGGAGTTAACAAAAGCCACTTCTAGCTGAAGTGTAGATGCAGTTGCTAAGTATTCTTATAAATATACCTACCCTGTGATGTTGGTAAGCAAAAGTTAATCATGTGAAAATTAAGCTAGAAACTATTAACAAAACAACAACCATGCTGTCTTAACTGAAAACAAATCTTTTGGTTTCAGATTTTCTTCCCTTTGTATGTGATGGCTGTTCAGGCATCTTTTGGTAAGTGCATAGAATCACAGAGTACCTCAAGTTGAAAGGGTCCCACAAGAGTCAACAAATCCAACTCCCTGCTCCTCACAGGACTAAAACTAAACCATACAACTAAGCGTCATTCAGACAGCCTTTGAACTCCAACAGACTTGGTGTCATGACTACTTCCTTGGGAAGCCTGCTCCAGTGCCCAGCCAACCTCTCTTAAGAACCTTTTCCTAATGTTCAACCTGAACTTCCCATGACACAGCTTCTTTCCATTTCCTCATGTTGTATGCTTAGTCACCAGGATTTCCTCATCCCGGGTGAAGAATCCTGCACTTGCTCTCATTAAATTTCATACAGTTGGTGACTGCCCAGCTCTCCAGTCTTATCAAGAATCTCTCTGTGTGACTTCTCCACCCTCAAGGGAGGTGACAGCTTTTCCTTGTTTAGAATAGTTGGCAACCATAACATGTATCCAGATCATTTATAAAAATACTAAAGAGCAATGTGCTAAAATTGAGCCCTGGGGAACTCCACTGTCCACCAGATTGAAGCAGTTGCATTAACTGTGACTCTCTGAGCCCAAACCATCAGCCATTTCTCAGCCATAGTACTACAGCCTTGTCTAGCTGTGTGCTGGACCTTTTTGTCCAGAAGAACGCTCTAAGAGACAGTGTCAAAAGCTTTGCTAAAATGCAAAACACCACATCTGCTGGCTTCCCAGTGTCATATAAATGGGCGACCTTGTCACAAAAGGAGGTGGCTGATTATGTTTTCTTCTTGAAAAAATTTTGAGGTTTCTTGCAAGGTTGAAATCACGGCCTGCACTTTGATTTACACTTCAGATTAGCAGAGGGCAGCTGAGAGAAACTCAGTTGGGGGTAGATTTCACTTCTGACATATCAGAAGCCATTAAGGGATTTCTGCCATTATGGAAGGTGGTTCAAAATCCATCAAAACAACATCTGGTTGCTTTGAACTGAACTCTTAAGCATGCTAACATATCAGAAGCCATTAAGGGATTTCTGCCATTATGGAAGGTGATTCAAAATCCATTAAAACAGACAAACTCTGGTTGCTTTGAACTGAACTCTTAAACATGCTGATGTCTTCATTCTCTTGAAGTGAATTGTTTATCTTGAGGCATAAGTTCCAAAAGCTAAATGTTTTACATTCTGAGAAAGCATAAGATCTGTCAATTCAAGAAGTGAAATGCATAGGATAGAACAAACATTGGAGAAGATTCATTATCTAATTGAAGTTTTTCCATGATAAAACTTGTCAGATTACTCTTTAAACACTTAAATGTTTTCACATGCAGGTTTTTTTCCCTGGAATGTTGATAACAGTGTGATATTTTCTTCTTTTTCCACAAAGCCTTCAGCACAGGAGCCGGGATGCTCATGGGTGTTCTGAGGTAATCTAACATTGCATGACAGCCTTACATTAAAATTCCATTCAACTTAGCTGTGTGTTTTCAGACTAGATAAATGCATATGGTATATAAGTATGAATTATTTAACTCCAAATGTGGAAGGCTTAAAAAAATTAATCTACTCTTTTTCTTCCTCTCAGACGTATACTGACATTAAGTAGGATGACAATTCTTTTTCAGCCTCTGAGCTAAACCTAACCAGGGCAAAAGTAGGAGAGAATAGCTGGACCAGGTTTGCCCATAGAATGGAGAGCTATCACAGATCTTTGAGAAAGCTGGGATGGTAACTTATATCTGTAGTATCTGTTTATTTACACAAAATATTTTGTACTTACTCCTAGGTGAATATAAGAAACAGTTCTGTGAAACCTGATCAGCACAGATCTTACCCATGCTCATACAAGGACTGCAATGGAAAGGAGCTTTTGCCAGTGTTGTGTCCTTACTGTGAAAAACATTTTTGTCTCAGGTGAGTGGAACAGAGTGTTTAAACATCAATATTAATTCACTAATGTATGGAAAATGCAATAGAAGTTTTACTGTGTTGTTTACAGACATCGTCATCAATCAGACCATGAATGTGAGAAGCTGGACACACCGAAACCTCGAATGGCTGCCACCCAGCAGCTTGTTCAACATATTATAGGCAAGTACAGAGGCATATATATTAATTTTCTTATATTTTTTCAGAACACTGAGTTTCTGACCTCCTTTGAGGGGTCAGGTTTGACCAAATAAGAAGAAAGGATGGGAGTTCCTTGGTTAATAGCCCTAAACTTACATGTCAGTATTTAATACTGTTTATCTAAACTGAGCCAAAACAACAGTACAAGGAGAATCTCTAAAGAATAAATAGGGTACAGGTTTCTTTCGGAATTATTGTCTTGTTGTCATTCTACAAGTGCTATACTATAATGAATTGTACCTAGCCATTATTGTTTACATATTAATTCATGTGCAAATAATGCAGTTGTGTTGGATGTACATGTCAGTATGCTGGGATCACATCTAATAATCAAGATGCCCAAAAAAGTCTAATTCTGCCATGTAATGTTTGGCAGGTTTTAAACAAGCTCTATGATAGGAAAGAGAATAAACAGCACTGCCCAGCTGGACAGTGGGATTATGTGTAGAAAGGAGGATCTGAAATGTTGCCATATGAATGCTGTGAGAGAATAAACAGCACTGCCCAGCTGGACAGTGGGATTATGTGTAGAAAGGAGGACCATATGAATGCTGTGGTGGCCACAGGTGTAGAAACTTCAGAATCTGTATCTATTTGGCTTTTGCAGCCTGTGTTTACATGGTGATAATGTTCATCTACGTTTCAATGTAAAGGAATTCTGCTAGAACTGAAAATACTGATACATGACGTTGGGAAAATATGAACAGACACAAAAAGGGATGGGATCCCTGGCAATACAATGAGACCCAACAGACTATGTCATATAATATGCTCAGGAAACTGTCAGAATGATCACACTAACAGGAATAATATTGTTCTCAGATTCTAAAAAGAGTGACGAAGTGAAAAGCAAAAAACGTAAAGGAGCAAAAAACAGTGAGACAGCAGCAAAAGTGGCATTAATGAAACTGAAAATGCACGCATGTGGGGACAAGTCCTTGCCTCAGGTCAGTGATGTTTGTTTTCAATAAATGAATTCTCAAAGGAACTAGAAAGATTTCTAAATTGTTTGATCTTCATTGAGTTTCCTCAGCTTGGTTTTGGATTTAATTTTTCAAGACCACAATCCCTTAAATGCACATGTCAGCCTGGTACCCAAAAGCAATCTCACTTGTTTTATGTCTGTAGATGTCTGTGTGGAGTTAGGAGCAGTGGAATCAAATTCTATTACTTCATAGCAGAAATGTGTTTTCCTGCCACATGGCTGTCACATAGCACGGCAGGGACAAACAGGGTCATCTGGGGATTCTTGGCAGAAAGATGACAGCACTGAGTTTATTAAATCTTGTTATTTTAGCAGAATTTGATGATCAGCATAGAATTTCATTATTAGACTAGAACAGGATTTCTAGAATCACTGTAGCACAATTTTGTAAGTAGTGCAGCACAGAGTTTTATAGCACATCTTAGCTTGTGGTTCCTTATCACCTGCACCCTTTTTGCAGATAGTGTCAAATCTTCCAGTGGGCATCTGAAGGGTGTCTACTGGTTATTTTAAACACCAAACAGCTTTAGGTAGGGCTTTACCTCATTTTCCCATAAGGAAACTTTGCCCTAGAGCTCATTTTAGTGGACCATTCCATTTCTTGACTGCACCATTACGTTGAGGACAGGTGGGACGCCCAGGGAACTCCATGATTGTCCTAGGATTCCTGGATTTTTTTTTTCTTTTTAATGAATGTCATTGTCAGACTGCACAGCAGAGGGCATGGGAGTGTCAGCAAACTGTTGATCAAATCCTGCCAGAGTGGTAAGACCGTCAGCTTTACCACAAGCTAAAACTTTCCCTAAGCCTTCCTTATTTTATCTCCAGTAAGGGTGTGGCACCACCCCTCGGGTGCTCAAGGGAGAAGTCCAACATAATTAATTTGCCAAGTGAATCAGGGGGCTTATTTCCTGCCCACAATCCATTGGGTCCCCAGAAAAGGTGACCTCCTGTGTGAGGCCCTGGCATTGTGTCTTCATCAATTGTTTTAATTTTTGTCTTATTTTTCATGTTTTTCTAGACAGAAAGAATTTACTTTCAAGTATTTTTACCAAAAGGGAGCAAAGAGAAAAGCAAACCCATGTTCTTTTGCAGTAAGTGGAGTATTGGCAAAGTAGTAGATTTTGCAGCTTCCTTAGCAAGCCTTAAAAATGACAACAACAAATCAACGTCCCAGGTAAGTCAGCAATAACAAACATTTTCCAGGTTGTTGCATTTTGGTTTTAGTTTTTCTTTAGCCTTTTGTGCCTCTCCCACCCCACTTCTTTCATCTTGTATAGGCAAATTTTGGTGTTAATTTCTGTCCTATCTGTCTTGCAGAAACTGAGATTATGCCATACTGCCTCTGGAGAAGCCTTGCCATTTGAGCACACACTGGAAACATGGCTATCTGATAAGGACTATCCACTGTACAATGGAGGGAATATAATTCTGGAGTATCTTGATAATGATGTTCTATTTATAGAAGATACAGAATCCTACTTTAGTTAGTCAATAAATTTTTACAAAAATAAAAAAATCCAGTATTTTTTAGAAGCATGGTATTAAAAAGCAAGTCCAGTGTTCTTTTAAAATCATTGGTATGCCAGAATCTGTCTTCCATTGTAAAGACACAATTTCCATCAGTTTCTCAGTTGCTTGACTGACAGAAGAACTATGTCCTGAAAGGAAAAGTATAATAACTAATATTACAGGTATTCACATTCTAGAATAAATTCTTGCTCTATTGAACTGTATAATATCAATATTTTTTTCTTAAATTTGGTATTTATTTTTGTGTAAGTGGCGGGGACAGTATGTCTTAATAAATAATGAGAATGTAAACTTGAAGTATGACAGTTTTCTGAAGGAAAAAAACATACTATGCTAATGCAGCATCTTTTCTACATCTACACAAACAGATTTGATTGCATTTGGAAACTGGCACTGTCCATGCACCAGGTTCACATTTTTTTCTTAATGATATTTAGGAAGAAAGCTTTATGAAACAAAAGTAAATTCACTCAGGTGTCTTCCTGATTGTAAATCTTTTTGTGTGATTGAGGGATAAAAGAGCTCGGTAAGCCTGTCACTTATTTTGCTTCTCAGTGCTCTTTACTGTAGTTTTAACATGACTTAGGTGTGAATAAATTGCTTTACTGGATGTCAGACGAAGGTGATTTTGGTTTCCATGAAGGAAAGGGTTGTCAGAGGCTGGTTATTTTGGAAATCTTTGTCTCCAGACAAAGATTTGACTTTGTCAGTGGAAAGTACAGGAGCATTTTTCTGCTTTCCCCTGCCTGTCTCTCCAGTTATCTTGCTTTCCAGTACAAGAGGAACAGTTCCCTTTTCCCTTGTTACTTATTTTCCTCCTTTTAATCTGCAATTGTCTATTCATCTCTCGTTTTATCTTAGGCTGCTGTGGTACAGAATATGCAGTAAGAGCCCAACCAGCATTGTGGAACCAGTGAGCTGGGAAGAGCCCTAAACAGAACTTTTTCCCCACCCTGTTGCTACAAAAGCAAGTGAAAAATACTTTTGTGCAACAGAGTAATTTCCCTTTTTATTTAGCAGAAAATCTTCTGCTAAATCTTCAAGAGTTTTCCACTTACACCCTTCCTTCTGCTCCTGATTTTTCTGCCTTGGCATTTGCAGGCAAAACAATTGAAATAACACTTGTTTGTGGATGAAGAGAAGATAGACTTGGGATGCAGGAAGTCGATCTTTGGGGAGACCTCAGAGGTTGTACCAGCATGGTTGCTTTCATCAATTGCCAGTAATGGCTAAGGTCTGTCAGCCTGTAAATGACAGTACAAACATGGCAAGTCACAGTTGATAAGACTCCAAAAAGTTTTCACTATCATCTTATTCCAGGAATGTGTATAGGATTGTACACAGAAGCACATTCGAGGTAGTTTTCAGAAACTAAGAAGCAAAACCAAATTAGTCTGACAAATAATTGAGAAGAGACGAAAACTCCACCCTAAGCAATGGTACTAGGAACAAAAGCAGAAACTTTTCCATACCTCTAGGACCTTGCCTAGTTTAGAACTGTTCTCATTTTACCTGTTTAGATTCCAATCTACCTTTACTTAGCGTTTTGTTTTTTTAAACTCATTATCTTAGCACATTTTCATACAGAAAGTTCAACAACTACATTTGAAAAAAAAGACCAAAATACTTCAGAGGAATCAGTTCTCAATTGAAGCCACTGTTGATTTTACAGGTCTGTGCTTAGAAGGTGCTGAATTTTTTCACTTCTGAATTAAAAAACAGAACTTTAACTTCTAGTAGAAGCCAAAAAAATGTATGTAAAGAAACATATGTAAAGTTATGCAAGCAAGAAAAGGAATTTATCAAAAGAAATACTTCCTGATTTTACAACAAACATGCTTTCAGCCAAACTACAAAAATAGGTGAATATCAAGCATTTTAGTTGTTCTAGCTGTAATTTTAGAGAATGCACATGGTCAAGGATTTATAAACGCTTTATGAGATGCTGCGGTAGCAGCTCCTGGCCTTGTTCCAGTTCAAACATTGCTGCAAGGTTTCCTGGCATGTGTTTGTAATATATGCAACAGTTTGGAAAAGGTTGTATTAACACCAAGAGTTCGATTCTGCTTGGATCGTGACCTGTTAGATTGGCTGGGCAATGCTGTTCTAAACAAGAAATAATATATCACACTAAGAAAGCAGGCAGTAATCTCTCATACTTTTATTTTCTCAATTTTCTGTGTCTGTTCTGGAAAAGTGTGCACCCTGGGGTGTGATCAGTCTGGTCTGCAGACTTTTTTTTATCAATACATCACCTCCATTCATCCAGTTTATCAGGTGACACATAAATATACCTTGCAGCTTAGTTTTCCTCCTAGTAGCCCCATATATAAAATACAAAATTTCATTTCAGCTGGAATAGAAATTGTGGTTTGGATTTGGAAAATTCTTATACTTGTTAGGAGAGAACTTCAGGCATTCCTGTTTTACTTCTGCTGATTTTAAGGTGAATGCAGAATTTGGAATCTGTAAAACCCTTGCTGTAATCTTAAGTATACATTAATGATGTCAAAAAGCCATTTTTCATAACACTCATGCAGTCCTGTATAGATTGTACTGAGGCATGTACAGCTGCTTGCCTCAACAAAAACTGAATCTGAGCCAAAGTGCCTCTTTCAGTGGTCTGTGTGCTTTTGGTGTAACCTTGTAAAGAACGATTTGCAAAATAATCAATAAAAACACAACTTAGCATCTCTGTAGCTCTTTAATGACTTTGAATACTTTAAAAAGCAGGCTTATTCTTGTTTATGAGATGGGAAGGAGGAAATGCGGAGTTGCACAGAGACTTGCCTCACACAACAGATTCAGTGAGAGTGGAAATTTTTTCAGTGATGTGGAAAGGACAAAACTAACCCCCTTTGGCCTAGCTGTGCATTAAGTTGGCATTGGGGCAATAGGGTAAGACTGCTTCTTTTGGTGTGGTCGACATTTTATGATTATATTAACCATAAAGCAAATTGCAACCCTTGCCCTGTTTAGCCAGATCACCATTTTGCATAGGACAGTCAGTTCCATCAGTTGCAATTTGTAAGGACAAAGCAAGCCCTCAGTGTTTTTCCTTTACCTGACGACAGAACATGGGCTCAAAAGACCACAGAGAGAAGAAAAAAAAAAAAAGAAAAAAAAAAAGAAACTGGTATTAGTAAGGCTTGGATTTTAATTAATATTGAAGAAGCATCAGTTGCACTGCAAATTGCTTTCAAAAATCGTTGAACTCTGTGTGAACTCGCCCTCCGTGAGGGCTCTGACGCACTGACACAGGTTTCCCAGAGATGATGTGGATGCCCTGCCCGTGGAAGGGAACAAGGCCCGGTCGGATGGGGCTCTGAACAACCTGCTCTAGTGGAAGGTATCCCTGGCCACGGCAGAGAGGCTGCTTATGATCTTTATAGCTCCTTCCAAGCCAAACCATCCTTTCAGTTCTATTATAAACTTCAATCGCGTGCTCCATGGGAGAGCATTTACGGTATCTCCGCCCTGCCACGTCTAAATATCAACAAGAAGTCGACATCAAAGTCTAATTTCGACACCTACCCTGTAAATTTTGACAGCGCCGGCGCCGCGGCCTCGCCCGGCCCCGGGCTCCCTCACACGCAGGCGCGGGCGCCACCGGAGCTCTAGACTGGTCTAGTGAAAGGTGTCCCTGCCTATGGCAGGAGAGCTGGAACTAGATGGTCTTTTAAGCTCATTCTAAACCAAACCTATTATTTCTATGATTGTTTCTCTTCATGAAGACTGCTTTGCTTCTGTAAATAAGAACCATCCCTTACAGTGGTGATATTTTGCCGTATGAGATTTAAGCTGGCTTAGAACAAGAAAAAGTTCGTACATCTTGGCAAAGCCTCAGCACGAGTGGTCACCAAATGTTTTGGTTCTTAGTACATTTGAAGGCTGTGGCAGCCAGTCAAGATGGCACATGTAATAATTGTGTCCCCTGGAGCTGCAGAGTCTGTGGAACATTGTCTCTGCAATGACCTCATTAAAGTCTTCAGTCAGAAAATCTTTTGAATTATAGTAAAATAATTCTGTGGGCTGTGAGGCATGGGTTCTTGCTTAAGCTGATACTGATGGTTTTAAGATCCTAAATGCAGGGTCTGGCTAAAATACCTGGCTTGAGCTCAGTGTTAGGTGTTTTATTCAACTGTGATATTTAAATTTGTAAATCTAAAACTTGTCCTGACAAAATGGACTCTGGTTTCGTCTACTTGGAGATCTTCGTTTTGTACTTAGATTTAAAGCCACGTAAAACTTTGTACTGAGTAGGGACTAGAGATGCAAGTCCCAGCTCCTGCAGTTAAATCCAGGTTATGTCAGTGCTTGTGTTTTGTATGTGCAGTACAGAAAATGACTGTAAAAATTAAGTCTTAAGTTTTTTGGAAAACTTATATTTTCCATCTTGTTAACAATGAAAGATTTTTTTTTCATTTTGTTTTTGTCTCTACAGATAGTCCGTGGAGCAATCCGAGAAGAAATACCTGTTATGACTAAAAGTTCACCTGTAGATCTAGTGACAGAAACTGATCAAAAAGTTGAAAACTTCATTATTTCTTTGGTAAAAGAAAAATATCCTTCTCACAGGTATGGCTTGTATGCTCTTGACAGAAAAAAAATGGAAAGTTTATGATTTTGCTTGGTAAAGTTTTATTACAGCTGGCATGCTGGCAAGTTGTAGCATTACCTTCAATAAATTAAGTATTTTAGTGTAGTAGTGGGCTGAAGTTTTGCCCAGGGCTGTAGCAAGAAAACGAGATATCCCCAGGTCTCCTGACATGAGACAAAACTTAATCTGAAAGTCACTTCCAGTTGAGCCAACTGTAATAAACTTCCTGGTTATTGTGTTGGAAAGTCAAAGGTGGCCCCAGGAGACCTGGAAGCCAAATTTCTGGTCTGCTTTTGCACTAGTGTGCCTTTGCTGTCTGTGTTGAATGGGTCCTGTGGAACTGAGCGTGACTTTGGCAAATCTCGTACATTTTTGCAACATAAAACATACTTAAAAGAAGGCAGGATCTTCTTTTTCTGCATAACAGAAAGACTGTCATACAAAATACTGGTTTTCTAATTGCTTTTCCCCTTTTTTCCCCTTCTTCTGTCCCTCTCTTATACCCCTGTCCCCCACCCCCTGAGAAATGTATTCTTGAAGGGTAATCTATATGTGTTTTGCTCACATGGGTCTGTCTTTTAACGTTTTGACATAATGGCTCAAGTTTAATACAGTTTCCTTAAAATTGGTTTGCTATTTTTTTTCTTTCATTTTCTTGGAGATTTTGTAATTGTAGCTGTATATGTGAAATGTAAGAAATCTGTATAGAACTGGAACAACTGAGGTGGTGCAAAAGTTCAGGAACCAATTTAGTATAAGCTTACAGACTTGCAGAATGACCTTGAAACCACAGTTTCTGTGACACTGATAAGCATTTTAGAATATTTTAGCTTCTTTTTATTTTAGGTAACCAATGTTGCATTAGACATAATGGTGCTGAACTTCCTAGTGAATTACTCATCCACCTATATTCAGTCTCGTTTTTCTGAAGATCTGCTGCTTTTTGGAAACATGCTGTTTCTCTCTGATTAGTCATCTTCACGTCTGTAGTTAATCATAAAACTCCCAATCAATATTAAAGAGACCTCATTTGTTTCCTCACAGCAGTTATTTTACGTGTTTCTGGAGGAAAGTATGTGTTTGCTGCAAAGTTTTCATAGGTTGAGTAATGTGTGATAAATTGTGACAACCTGCAAAAGGCCTCAAAGAGAATTCCTCCTACTTAGACTCATTCTAATAATTTTGCAGTCTAAAATGCTTTCCTGAGCAGCAAAACTTGTGGAATTTGGGGTGCTGTGGCACTATGCGTTCTGTGTCCTGGGGTTTAGTACTGTGGCTGGGCATGCACTCGCCCATCTTCTTCAGGAACTCTGGTTTGAATTGATCCCTTTACCATGTTACCATTTTGTCATGCTTGTAAAACTAAAGTTTTGAGATTAACAACTTTCTGTCATATTTCGGTTGAAATCAGTCTTCAAATTTAACAGGTCCTGCAGTGTTCTAACCAGGTATGTAAGACCACCGAGGCGTTCTTCACTGAAAACACAAGCTACAAAATAATGTTGTATAGCACAAATAAGCTGAAAGGTGTAATTAGCTTATAGGTATTTTGAACAAAATTTGATGATGCTGTTACTGGAAGAAAGTTATGACAACGTCAGTGTTCTGAATGCTAAATTCTGGTATTATTCTAGTATATTGTGAATGCTAAATTCTGGTATTATTTCTGTGTTGAAACATAAAATTCTTTTCCCTGCAGATTGTGCTTATCCGTAACATCATAAACGTGCATGCGAGCTTGGTCAGATATGGTTGGTGCTTTCTGGATAAATACTGTATTTCTCAGCTTTTTGCATAAGATCACTGGTGGTACTCAAAGCTTCATCTCACTTTTAAGAGTTTCAATGTCAAGGACAGTGTTGTAATTCAGACATTTTAAACATTTTCTGTCTTTAAATGTGTTTCTACTGTAGCTTTATCGGTGAAGAATCTGTTGCAGCTGGAGAAGGCAGCATTCTGACAGATAACCCCACGTGGATTATAGACCCTATTGATGGAACTACCAACTTTGTACACAGGTCCACCTTTCTTTCTTTTATGTTAGCAACCTCAACAGATACCCTTTTTCTTTCTCCAGTTCCATGAAAGTAAGGTTGTTTAAATTGCTTTAAAAGAGATACTATGAATTTGTTAATAGTTACAAATTGGTACTTACTGAGAGCCATTGGGCAGTCTTTGCGAGCATTTTAATATTCCTTTGAGTGTTATAATAGTCTTGCTCTGTTACCTACATCATTTGTTCCATATGAGGCCTGTATTATATAGCAGGGGTCAGCAGCCTTTGGCATGGATTTCAAAGACAGATGGGCAGATTTCAACAGGAACAGGATACAGAATAAGAAGTTGCAGCATCTTCAGAAAGGAAAATAACAGCTTCAGGTGCTGATTTCTAAGAAATTTTAAATCCATTGAGATCTAGGAGCCTCAGCTGTGAAGGAAAGCAGGATATCACCAGTAATTATCGATGATATTTCACACCAAGATGAGGAGGGGACTTACAGAGTAATGCTGACAGCCTATTCCTTATCTCTTTTAAATGTGATAGATTTTGGCCCCAGTGAGCTTTTCTGAATCTGCTTGATTTCAGTTTTGAAATGATTGCTGCTATGTGCACAATGGCTTTCAAACACCTTCTGAATCCTGCTAAATAACGTGTTAAGAAAGTTATAGGAAAAGAACTCATCCTGCTGAGTCCACAGGCTTAAAAGTTGGTATTTTTTTGCAGAAAGAATAAAAGCAAATGTCTAGGAATTGAAAAAAAAAGTAAAAATTAATTAATTGGTGGATTAATTGGTTCAAACTTAGACTGAGATGCAATCCACCATGTCCCATGGTCTTCACTCCTCCTGCATTCTTCAGTATCTGTCTTTGTCTTGGCTTTGGTGGAGGAAGGGGCGGTGGTGGGAGAGGTAGCTTGGTTCTTTTTGTGAGACCATTTCGGCCAGCTTGTTCCTTCTGAGAAGGGTTACTACTAGCATAGAGGCTTGTTTGCATTCTTTGGCTGTAAAAAAAAGTCTGTAGGCTAGGAACAGCTGTAACAGCAATGACAGCCCTAGTAGGTAGAAAACTTAGTGTTTCAAATGGTAAT